GTATAAATAAATAAATAAATCTTTAAAAAAAAAAAAGAATATACTTTATGAAGCAGTGAAAATTATTAATTTTGTTAAATCTCAACCCCTTAAGTACTAAACTTGGTTATCTAAGTTCAAATAGAAACTGTGCATATGGCATTTCTGATGGTTTTCTACAGAAAATGCATACTTGTGCAATTGCATGAGATATAAGTAAAAGTAGCCTTTTCCCAGAAAGTATATTTATATCAATAAACTTCCTGGTATACCTCTAAAACACTTTCTTCTTCTTATACCTTTGTGGCTGCTTCTTCATTTGCGATTTTTATAATTTCTATGGAAAGAATGAGTTCTGGGCCTCCCTGGTGGCGCAAGGGGTTAAGAACCGCACTATGAAGCAATTTGCAGCCTCTGCAGCATGAGTTCCATCCCCGGCCAGCCAGAGAGCAACCCACATGGCGCAGCAGACCTCTCCTGACTCGCCCGCTGCTCCCCTCAGCAGTGTTCTTTGGTCAATCTGCCTGCTCTGTTCCCCACTCTGTCTCTGGTGAATCCTCTCACCGCCGCCCCCCGCCCCCCGCCCCGCATCTCTGGCGTGTACCCCAGCACTTATATGCATAAATAAATTTTTTTTGAAAAAAGAATGAGTTCTGTACCCTGGTGGATCAAACTATTTTTTGATCCACACCCAACTTCCCCTAATCTTAACATCTTATTATGATAGTTCATCCCAATTAATGAATCAATATTAAAGGTCCATACTCCTTAGTTTTCACCTAGTGTGCGTTTTCTGCCCCAGGATCCCATCAGCAATACCGCTTCAGATTTAGTTGTCATGTCTCCTTAGGATAGAGTCCAAAACAAGAACAGTGTACATATGCATTTCAATACAATGAGAAAGGAAGGAATTGTTTAATAGAGGCTATTTAGGTCAACTACTTGAAACAATGTTAAATTTTATCCCTCACAGCTTATTCAAAACAAACTTCAGATAAGACATTATTAGCAATATAAATAAACATCTACTTCAAACTGGTCAAAAGAAAATAAGCCAGGGCATCCCTGGTGGTGCGGGGATTAAAGACAGCACTATCAAACTATCCTCAGCCACTGCAGCATGAGTTTGACTCCCCTGCCAGCCAGGGGGTGACCCACATGGCGCAGCAGACCTCTCCTGTCTTGCCCACTGTTCCCCTCAGCAGTGTATTTCAGTCAGTCTGCCTGTTCTGCTCCCCACTCTGTCTCTGGTGAATCCTTTCAACCCCCCCCCACCTCTGGCCTACACCCCAGCTCTTGTATGCAAAAATAAATAGATTTAAAAAATAAAGAAAAGAAAACAAGCCCATAAAAATGGGAAGAGGAATTGAACAGATAATTCATGGATGGATAAATATATGAAAATATAGACAAACATATGAAAAGATATTCAACCTCATTAAAAATGAAATATAAATTTAAAAATAGTAAAATATTGATAGTATCCAATGTGAAAAAAAGCATTGGGGAATAAATAATCCCCTATACTGCCAGAGTACAAATTAGTACAGCCCATTCATGAATATTTTATAGTACATATACTCTGACCCAGCTCTCACATTTACGGGAATCTACTCTACAGAAATAAAAGCATGACCACAGAATGACTTGTACAAGCAAAAAAACCTGGAAATAACCCAAATGCCCATCAATACATATATAAATAAATTCTAGTACATCCATACATCAGAATACTATGCACCCATTAAAAAAATGAGGTAGCTCTAAATTACTTCATGTCCACAGTATAACGCTGTTAAGCATGAGTTGTAAAAGAACCAGCACAAGTCATGTGTGTGTACATGCGTGTGTGTGTGTGCATGTATGCAGACTAGTAATTGACTATTACAATCCATTGTGCTAATACTGAATGCCTTTGATGTTAACATTTCAGCAGCCGATATGACTGCCACCTGGTGGTCCCATACTGCAAGAGGTTTGTCTCAAGGTGAAGGAAAATTGCCATTGATACTATCATAGCTCACCATTTCTGTTGCTTCTGAACAATAAGTTGTGCTTCCCTCCAGCCCTGCAATCCCTCCACCCTGCATGGTTGCCTGGTCTACCCAGCGATTTTCTTGTACAAGTCAAGAGCAGTACTTCCATTCCCTGCTCACACTGCCAAGGAAGTATCACCAGCTCTGAGGAAGGTAAGCAGTGACTTTTAAGGAGGCAACTTGATAATATGTGTTAAAAACATGCATACAATTTCACCCAGCAATTCTACCTCTAGGACTTTGTATAAAGATATCATCAATCATATTGCAAAGATATCTACATAAGAATACCCGTCAATACCTACAAAAGTAATCCTCAACGATGAGGAATGGGAGTTGGTAAATAAATACCCAAGGTACTCATCCCTCAGTGGGACTTATCTCTCCCTGTTCCTTCCTGCTGAATATACTATAAACACCAGAAATAACAAGTGAGAAAGGTGACAGGTGGAAAGAAGAAGGTGGACTGAGGAGAGAGACACCTCAGGATTGGAGGCATACAATCACTATACTAGCATTAGAAGGTGGTTTATTCTTCCCCCAAGATAAAAAAAAAAAGGGGGGGGGCTCTACAGACAACAGTATGAGCACTGGCAGAGGGACTGATTGGAAGCCCACAGACAATAAGCTGCTAGAAGAGTTCTTCCCCATCAGCCTAATACTTTCTCCTCCAGTCCAGAATACCAGCTGGATGGGTGGCACCAGCTGGCGAATTCTGCCACAATAACCTGCCAGCCAAGAAGCCTTTTTGTCCCCTGGGCCTGAAGTTTCTCTCTCCTACCTAGAGCAGAGGGAGGGGTGAAGTGGCACTGACAAGCTTGAGAAGTCTTTCTCCCGCCAGGGCTGAGAAAGCTCTCACTTAGAGAGAAAACAAGTTCCGTATGAAACCATCAGGGGGATCCTGCCAGAAAAATAGAATTCCTTGGATATCTTATTTTTTCCCTGTGAGTTCACGGCCCCTACGCCCAGGTTATAAACGGGTAACGTTATAAACTGGTAGCCCTTGAGCTGTTTCCTCACATCTCCTTTAATTCACCAGGTAGGGCACAGGCTATAAGTGAATTGTACATATATGTGCACATGTATGTATGATGGGTGAGGAAATAATTGAGTAATTCTCAAAGCAAAGAACCTATAGTATTAAATCTGCACAAGACCACTCCCTATTTACCACCCCTTTCCCACCAAATAATCTTGTCCCTGGGTGAAGCTCTCTATCTCCATCTCTTTTTCAGTTAACTTCTGGCTCACTCAGTGTGGGTGTATATCAGGGGTGGGAAGAAGGTAAATAAAGGTGGACCTGCTTATATCTACTAGTATCCACTCCTCACCCCTCCCAGCCCAGCGCAAAGGCTACTACCCTGTACAATAGTGAAAGAATGGGCAAAGATTTACCGAACACAGTGAGGGAAGTGGACAAAGTACAAGATACTAAAAGCACCCTGACTCCTTCCAGCAACTCTCTGCAGTTCTTTTGTGGCATCTAGGAGTCTTCCATTGCTGCTATTATTCCACCCCCACTTACACACACACATCCTAGAACCAACTGTACCAATCTTGTCTTCCAGAGAGTTTCTAATCAACTTTTCGATTCAATCCAACAACCTCCCCTCTTCCAAATAATCTCTAGATTGGGTTTTGGGAAAGAAGCGAGCCATTTATTTTAGGATGCTGTATTATCTTTTTCAGCATAGCAATGTTGCAACATACTTAGTGACTCAAAACAGCACATGTTTTTTATCTCTCAGTTTCTGGGAGATAAAGGTCTAGGCACAAATGAACTGGGACATCTGCAATCAGGACTGGATTCTATGGGAAGACTGTTAGGAATGATCCACTTACAAGTACCTCAGGGTTGTTGACAGGATTTAGACTGGTGCTGGCTCCTGGCTGAAGGCCACCCACAGTTCCTTTTCATGTGGGCCTCTGCTTGCTTCATCAAAGCCAGCAAGGAGGTGTCTCCTAACAAGCATTAGAATCTTATGTCACCTTAGTTGTATGCTATTGTTTAGGAAGAAGTCACAGGTCCTACTCACACTCAGAGAGAAGTAATTACACAAATATGTGTATACCAGGAGGTTCAGATAATGGGAGTCAGATAAGAGGTAACTCCTTGTGGGAATTAAAAAAAAAAAATTTTCTTTCTCAGGAGTTTTTGAAAGCCATTAAAAGAGTTTCAGCAGTAACATTCTATGAGTTGGGGCAATCCGTTAAAAGGCTGCAAATGGTGGCCAGAACTAAGGAAATTCTACCGGCAATAAAGAAAGATGGACAAATTGGATTTATTTTTAAAATAAAATAAATAGGACTTCTGATAAATAGTGAAAGAGGAAAAGTTGATGATATTCTGGTTCTGGCATGTGTAAACATATCGGGGAGCAGTGATGTCACTCATTTCTGAGTTGAAGTGCATGGAGTGATTAACCATGGTCCCTTGAAAAACCTCTTTTGATAAACTAAGCCTTACCAAAAAATCTATTGCTTAAAGTTGTTGAAACGGGGTGCACGAACATCAGCTAGAGTATGCAACATCATTCCTAAAAAACACACCACCTTTCACATTGTTTGGAATACATGGGAAAAGTCACATATCTTACATGAGGGTGATTTGAATTGAATCCTCAGCAGCCCCTAGCACTGGCTGTAGACCCCATGTGTAGACGAAGCGCCCCAACTGCAAATTAAACCCACTGCACTCAACTGCGCCGTCAGCGCGATCAGACACAAATTTACAGACCGATAATCTCGCGAGAGTAAAGGGGCTCGCGGATCCATCGAGTCTCCCAGCCACGCCACGTGCGCTCCCACCTGCAGCGAAACGGAGTCCCGCGGCTCCCGGGGGCTTCTGGGAGTCGTAGTTCCGGACTGGGATGAGGCCCGCCAGCCTGGCCCCGCGCCGTCGTACGCATGCGCCACTCCAAGCTGTCCCGAGAAGTTCGTAGCCTTTGTTAGGCCGGGGGATGGGAGGTGAGTTGGTAGCTAGGACGCCGCTCCTCTCCGCTGGCCGCAGTGCTAGCCCCGGGGGAGGATCCGTCCGTGCCGAGTCGGGGCTGGAGTGCTCGTTAAAGGGACCTCAAGCACCGACCATGCGTCCCATCCCCGCGCGCTCGGGTCTGAATCCCTCCCGCGGCCGCCGCCTCCTTGGGGCCGCGGGTGCGAGCGCGGTGCCGGCGGGCGCGCGGCGGGCGGGGCGCGGGGCTGGCTCCCGGGTCCGAGCGCGGCGGAATTTGTCTACGCACCTTGTGCGACGGCGGCTGCCGCGCCGCGGTCTCTTCAGCCGCTCGACCTCCCCAGGGACAGCTCCGGGCGTCTGAGGACCCAGCCTCAGGGATGCTGTCCCTGGTTTCCAGGTTACAGATTCGCAGGACCCAGCCGGGATCCAGCGTGAGGAAGAAACCCGAACTGACCTGACTGACGCTTTTACAGTCCAGAAGGAAGACAGGAAGGGGAGCACGAGGCCTGAGGGGCTTCTCACCCAGAGAAGTCTGAATTGGAGGAAGATCAGAATCCTCACAACGGGGAGGAGGGGGTGGTCATGGCGACAGATTTGACCGAAATGGCCGAGGAAAGAGGTAAGAATTGCTTACGTGTTGAACTTGTGGAAGAGTGAAATTCCTCCTCCTGCAGGAAGATCAGCTGTTTCAGGAGAGGTGTCTCAGCAGTGAGCGCTGTCTGTCTCCTTTGTCTAGGAAATGGATGGGCTCTCTAAGTGAGAGTGGAGAGGCTGATGTGGGATTTTTCCTCTTTACACTCCGACTCGGTGTACAATGGACCCTTCAAAGCTACCCTAAAATATGAACGAAATGTTAGTTTCATTTACTCTTTCTCACACGTTCTTAGTCTCATGTAACTATATCATTCTGGTCTCCATCGGTGGGCCTGAGATTTTAGCTTTTGGGTTGGGGGAAATATTTTCCCACACCTGTTCTCCCACTAACTGCACAATAACTAGGTGGATTTAATGGGGCAAATATTTTTGTTTTACATATGAGAGAACAGGCTTAGAAGTCACTGACTGACTTCCAGTTCTACTTGAAGTTTAAACTGTGACCTCCTACATCAGAGGTGCTCCTGGGATGCTTGTCAGAGTTCTAGATTGCACCCCCACTTACTTGATGATAACTGTTTGGAGGTGGGAGCCAGCAATCTCTGTGTTAAATAAGCTTGCAGGATGATTTTGGAGAACCTGGACATTTATATATATATATGATATATATCATATATATATCAATATGCATTTTTTAACATTTATTTATTTATTTATACAAGCATTGGGCGCAGTCAGAAGCACGGGAGGGTGAGAGAATTCACCAGAGTCAGAGCGGAGAGCAGAGCAGAGCAGGCAGACTGACTAAGTACACTGCTGAGGGAAGCAGCGGGGGCGTGGCAGGAGAGGTCTGCCCGCCATGTGGGACCCTCAACCAGCGGCTGGGGATCGAACCGGCGCTGCAGAGGCTGCGGGCAGCTTCGCAGCCCAGCGCTCAACCACTGCGCCACCAGGGGAGGCCCTATATGTATGTATTTTAAAGATTTGGTTTTGTTTGTTTTAAAAGATTTATTTATTCATGCATACAAGAACCGGGGTACGGGCCAGGTGAGCGGAAGGGTGAGAGGATTCACCAGAGACAGAGTGGGGAACAGAACAGGCAGACTGACAAAATACACTGGTGAGGGGAGCAGCGGGCGAGACAGGAGAGGTCTTCTCGCCATGTGGGATTCTCACTGGCCGTCTGGGATCGAACCCAGGCTGCAGAGGCTGCAGACAGTTTCACAGTGCTATGCTCAACCACCTGCACCGACAGGGGAGGCCCTGGACATATTTTTTCTATTACTAATTAGATTACAGTTAAACTTGAAAATAAATTGACTTATTCTTGTTTCTGGGTCAGAGAACACCATCTTCCAGAATGTTGTTATGATTATAGGAATTGAATGAATTTAAGCCTGAGTAGAAACGTTCCTGGGCATTCTCCATGATCCTGGAATTCTGGATCATTTGAGCTTCCCTTCCTTCACAGGGTATGTAGGGAGCAGTATTAGTATAGTGGAGGGATTTTTAGACTTGTAAGTCTGAGTCAAAAGATAGATCTAGTCGACATGATTACTGTTTTCTTGCCCATAGTTCTGTCTTCTCGGGATTCTCCCTTTAACCAAGAGAAAAGCACAGAAGTGGCAGCTCTGCGCCTCACAGCCAGGTCCCAGGTGAGTGTGAGTGTCCAATTCTTGAAAATATGCCTTATTTCACAGAATACAGATGCAATTTCATCTTTTTCATGTGGACTTTCTTTGTCCTCTAGATCCTGTCTAAAGAGCTGAGTTCCAGTACTAAGAGATTACTGTGAACTCAATAAAAAGTGTTTTCAACTTACACATGGTATATTCTTCATCGTATTTACTGTCACTCAATAAGCATGTAAGGAACATTACCCTTCAGCCTATTATGCTGATTTCTGTGATTGGTAAATTTAATTTTTAAAAGGCAATACAGTGCATACCTATTCAAATGTGAGTTTTTGTAGGAGAAATGTATACCATTGTGAGTGGAAATTTAAGAAAGCACGTTAAATACTGAAGAGAATTATGAAATTAATAAGTACTCACATAAGTCAAGGAATGCTGGAAAAGGATAACCTGTGGTATTTTAAAGAGATAAATCCAGCCCTCCAAGATGATGAATGTTGAGTATTTTAGAGGTGAACTATTAACATGTCTGCAGCTTCCCAGTCCTCCTTCCAAAGGCAAATACTAGGAATCGTTGAATTTAATTGGTGGTTCTACATGAATTATTAGTCTTTAAGTCTTGTAACTTTTTACATGTTTAAAATTTTTTATTAAAATAAGTTTAATAGGAGAAAAGATCTTTCGTAATGTATGTGGCGTATCACAACCCCACATTCCTTAATTAGCCTTTCCCTTTGCTACTATAATCCAAAATGCAAAAAGTAGATACAGCACATTGGTATGGTATGTCAAAGTGACTTCTCAGGATCCTTATGTAATTGCCTATTTCCGTTGGTTTCCCTACTGTCCTAGATTAGTATTGAAGACTTTATTAGTGAAGAAGCTTTAAGTTGCATCTGATAAAAACTTTATCAACTCAAATTGGCTTATGCAGAAATAGGTATTTATTGCCTAACATAACTGAAAAATCCAGGTCTAACTAAAAATAGTTCAAGCTATAATATTAGAACCTCTTTCCTCCATTTCACTTACTTTTTTTCTCTTTATGGGTTTTCCCTCCCAAACAAGCCTCACTCCTAGTGCTAGCCCCTAGCAAATTTAGATGTATATCTTCCTAGCTTTCCCAGAGGAAAAGGTCAGCTTCTCGTCTTGTCCTTTTAGCTTAAGTACTGGGATTAACTCTAATGGGTATTGGACCCATTCTTGGCTCGGTTATTGGGCCAGATCCAAGTTATTCTCAGATTGATCCAACCCAGGGAATAGACTTGCATGCATGTGCACATGCACACACGTGCACACACATGCACACACATGCACACACACACACCTTGCCTGTGAGTCAGAAGCGGAATTAGTGCTACTTGATCTACATGGACTAATGTGACCAGATATAGCAGTCAGAAAAATCAGGGTACAGGCACAAGAAGTGTTATGCTATATTTCCTTTCATTTCTTCCTCATAGTCCCCAATTAGGCAATTTCTGTTTGGGTTCCTTTCTGTACATGGGAATTTAAAACATTTTATTTCTTAAGGATGTGGCTTTTTAAAGAAAAAAAACCTTTTTATAAGGGAATTATGTCATTATTTAGATGTTTCAAATGTTCCTTGCAATGTGATTTTTATGATTCTGTTTACTGTGCTTTTTTCTTGCATTTTTTTCTGTCTTTTATGTACTGTTTTGAATTTTTTTGTTCTAATATTTTTCTTCTAAAATGGTTTAATAGTTAATACCCACTGAATTAGCAATGAATATGCAGACTGTAGGATCAAGGTTATTTTTTCCTCATAAGATCTCATCTTAGTGGCTACTTAGTGATTTTTACATTTTATTTTCCAAGGATGATTCTTATATTTTTTCAGGTAACAAATTATTTCTCATTTTGTAATTTCTATTTTGAAATAATTTTAGGTTTAAAGAAATGTTGCAGATACAGTCAGGATTAGGGAGGTTCTCTCTCACACACACACACACACACACACACGCACAGCCTACAATATTTGACTCATCAAAAACTTAACTGCTAATAGCCTGTTTTTGACCAAAAGCAAGCCTTATTGATAACATTTTGTATATGTATTACATGCTATGTCCTTACAATCAAGTAAACTGTTGAAAAATACATTTACAGTATTACACTCTATCGATACCTTAAGTTTACATCACCTGTTTAAAGAAAATCCACATATTAGTGGACTCATGCAGTTTAAACCCATATGCAAGAGTAGTAGAAAATTTTCTCATATAGTCTCTAGATTCTCCAGAAGTTAACATTTGAACTAAATTTACTGTTCTATTTCTACAAAAACAGGAAATTGATAGTATATTTTTACTCCTTTTTTAATCCTGTTATTCTCTCTGTTTCTTAGTTTATTATTATCTCTCTAACCTGAACTGTGTGCTTTGTTCATTTATTTACATTTAAATAATTACATTTACTTAATGAAATGGAAGTGTTTAAAGCTGTGAAATTTGGGCCTCCCTGGTGGCTCAAGGGGTTAAGATGCAACCTAATGAAGCTATTTGCAGCCACTGCACCAAGCCAGAGGGCTACCCACATGGCACAGCAGACCTCTCCTGACTCGCCTGCTGCTCCCCTTAGCAGTGTATTTCAGTCACTCTGCCTCTTCTGTTCTCCACTCTGTCTCTGGTGAATCCTCTCACCACCTCCCCCCCAACACACACACCTCCCTCTGTCCTGTACCCCAGTACTTGTATGCATAAATAAATCTTTTAAAAGTGAAAAAAAGCTATGAAATTTCCTCTGAGTACAATATTAGCCATTTGGCATTGGTTTTATTTAATTGTTCAGTTTTCAGTGTTGCTCTATTTCTGTTTGGAATTTATTGAAATGTACTTTGTTTTTGTAAATGCTTCATGAATGTTTAAATAGGTCTTTAAACACTTAATATGTCTTTATTTCAGCAGCCTTGGAATTTTATTTCCATTCTCTGACTTTACATAAAGAGACATGTTTAGTATCTCTTTTTGTATTTTTGTTGTATATAAACTTAACTATTATATTTATACATACACATTTATGAGTTATACTTGTTCCCTTAACTAATTTGTTACTATCATTTTCCATAATGCTTTTTGCCTTGAATCAATTCCATGCTTAACTGATTTGATGCTCATTGCCAATTTTTTCTCCTATTCCATGTCTCCATTCACAAGTCTGTATTTCAGTTCATCTTCTAATTGGCTGTATTGATTCTTCAAGTTTTTATTGAGGACTTACAAGGAGAGTTATGCAAGCATGCCACCCTCCCTTCCCTGCTAAACTACATTGTTGACGCATTGGTTCAGATTTTGCTTATTTACTCACCAGAAAATTTAATGTCTCAATGGAGAAACCATTTCTTTCTGTTCTCATGTTAAATCTAGTATACTGTCCCTGGCACATAATTAATACCTGGTGACTTTACATGGAATATTCAGAAACAATACTATTAGATTTCTTATTATTTCTATTATTGTATCTCACTACTCCAGAGCCAACAGAAACTAGGAGGGTAAAGGGAGGTTCTGAGTACAAGGTAGTGAGCTAAAGAATCCTTTCTGTCTTAGGCATCAGTGACATTCAAGGATGTGGCCATGGACTTTACCCCAGAGGAGTGGGGGAAACTGGATCCTGCACAGAGAGACGTGATGTTGGAGAACTATAGGAACCTGGTCTCATTTTGTAAGAATGGATTTTCATTGTGACTCTGAAATCTACTTGTTGGGGGCATCATTACTTTACTAAAAGCTAAATAGCTTTATAAAGCCTTCACCTTTGTATTCAGAAGTCAAAAAAGTTCATCCCTTTGGGCCCAAAGAAAATCTCTTTCTGCTTTAGATTCTTGGTGACATTTCTATACGTGTTTTGTGTCTGGATTCTTTGGATTGAAGAAACGGAAACCTAATTCACACTAGCTTAAAGTGGGGGAAACTTGATCCAGTGCATCAGATGTATTACTGTGAATTTCTTTTATTTATTTGTGTAAGTCAGATGATTTGGCTTTGCACTGGATCGACTTTATTCTTAAGATCTCCTTGGAGCCTCCCTGGTAGCCTAGGGGTTAAATCTCAGCACTGTCACTGCCTATTCCTATGACCTAAAGAGTCTTGTAAAATCTGGTTTTTATCCATTATTAACAGCTTCATCTCATATTTACTATTCTCTCTCCTTTTTTGGAAAACTTTTTTCTACCACTGAGAACTCAATAGCTTCCTAACACTTAAAAGATTTCCTAATACTTGAAGAGCTAATATTTAAAGATAAAGTCAGGGCCTCCGTGGTGGCATAGGGGTTAGTCTCAGCCCTATCACTGCCACAGCCTGAGTTCAATCCCCGGCCAGGGAGCAATCCCACATATGGCACAGCAGACGTCTCCTGTCTCGCCTGCTGCTCCCCTCTGCAGTGTATTTCAGTAAATCTACCTGTTCTGTTCCACACTTTGTCTCTGGTGAATCAACTCAACCCCCCTGCCTGTGGCCCACACCTCAGTTCTTCTGCACACCCCAATTCTTCTTTTTAAAAAGATCTCATGTGGCAAAGATGGCTTTTGGTAACTCTAGGATTCCATTATTTTTCCAGTTAGAGAACTAGACAAATAAATACAGTGCTTCTGCCTTGGGAGTTTCAGCAAATAAGGTCACAAGTTCATCAGTGAAGCAAATACTAGAGCCAGCTCTCTGGCCAGCTTGGATCCTGTGAGTGTGTGTGTGCATGTATCTGCATGTGTGTACTTGTGCATGTGTTTGTATGAGGAATGGAAGGATCTGTGTTAGCCCCTCCCAAACATCCAAATATCATGTAATAAATTTCCAAAGAACATGGCTTCTAATAACTGAAGCAGAAAGAAGTAAAAATCATTAGAAGACAAAAACTCTTAAGTCACAGTCACGGATTTGTGGTGCTGCCACGGAGGTCCCACCTTATCCAGCTTCTTCCCTCAGTTGAACACTAATCAGCATTATCTCCCCAGAACTTCCCAATCAAAACATAAAGAGAAATTCTCTTATTTTTTTAATTCTTATTTTTTAAAAAATATTTGTCCTTACATGTTTCTGTTTTAACACAAATATTTAAAGTTTCCTTCAGAGATCTGGTCTTCCTATAATATCTTAGCTAGTTGTAGATCCAGGGGTTTGGACTGTGCTCTGGGATACACTTATCATAAATTATAAATTCCCATTTCTTACATTTATTTTTTAATGAGCAGGGCTTCCAGTTTCCAAACCTGATAACTACAATTTGGAGCATGAGAAAGAACCACTGATGCTTGAGAGAAAACCTCCCAAAAGCAGCTATTCAGGTGAGTCAAGACAAATGGGATTCTTCAGATAATTTCCCCGCAGGACAGTGACGAGGTGCCACCTTTCACTGCCTTAGAAAGAATATAAAAAGTACCTGTGTACTTTTTTTTTAAAAGTTTACTTTATATAGCATTTTTAAATATATACAAAAGTGAAGAAAATAACAATTATGAATTCACTATCAAGATCAAGCACATACTATTGGCTTCATTTGCCTCTTTCATTTTCTTCCTTTCTTTTTTTTTTTTGGCCGTAATAGAGATAACAAAACTGTTCTGTGAATTTTCACAAACTGAACACATTCTTGTAGTTAGCACCCAGATCAAGAATCAGTCTTGGCCCTCCCCGGTGGCGCAGTGGTTGAGCGCTGGGTTGCGAAGCTGGCCACAGCCTCTGTGGCACCGGTTCTATCCCCAGCTGCTCCCCGGCCACCGGAGGAGGGTCCCACATGGCACACAGACCTCTCCTGCCGCCTGCTGCTCCCCTCAGCAATGTACTTCGCCCTTCTGCCTGCTCTGCTCCATGCTTTGGCTCTGGTGAATTCTCTCACCCTCCCACACTTCTGACTGTACCCAGTGCTTGAATGAATAGATCGATAGATAGATAAATACATACATACATACATAAATTAAAAAAAAAAATCAGTCTTACCAGAACTCCTGCAAGCATTCTTGTGCCCTCTTTATGTCACCTGCCATCTTCCAAGGATGACCTTATTTTAGCACCACAAATTAGTTTCAACTATTCTTGGGGTTTATATGAACAGAATCATATTGTATGTACTCTTGTGTCTGCTTTTTTCACTGGACACTGCTGTGAAATAAATCCCTGTTGTTGCATGTAATTGTACTTCATTCACTTTCATTGTTGTACAGTCTTTCATTATGTCAGTATGCCATTTCTTTTAATCCATTCTCCTGAGATGGCAATTGGGTAGTTTTCGTTTTTTCACTAAATGAATAATGCTGATATATATATATATATATATATATATATATATATATATATATATACATGTCATAGTATATATATATATGCATATATATATACACATGTATAGACATATACATGTACTATATATACACATATATATACAAATGCATGGTGTACACATGGATTTCTACTGGGTATACACATACAATACAATTGTTGGGTCATGGAGTCGATAATGTTTATTTTTGGTGGCTATTGCCAAACAGGTTTCCAGAGTCATTGTATCAGTCATACTAGCAGAGTATGTGTGTTCTAGTTGATCTGCATCTTTATCAACATTTAATATTGTCTGTCTTCTTCATTTTAGCTGTTCTTATAGGTATATCATTTACTTCTTAAGAAATAAAAAATTACATAGATTCACTTAAAGTCTTTTCATTCTCTTTTTTTCTACCAGTAACCAGCTGACGTGAATCATTCTAATATTTGTGTGTGTCTGTGTGTACAATACACATATGTAACAAAACTATAAATATAATAGTATGTTACACCTTTTTGTAATTTGATTTTTTTTAACTTCATATTGTATTTTGATAGTAATCTAAGTTAATTTTATATGAATTGTGTTTATTCACTTTAACGACTATGGAATAATTCCATGTCTCCTTAGGTAGTCTGAACAGTTTATTTTTACTTCTTTGGCATTGGTAAACAAATCGTAATGATCATCCTTTGTTTACTGCTAATATTCATCTGGTGACCTAGTTTAGGGTAGGTAATTAGAATGAGAATTACTGGTTTTTAAAGCATCACATGTTTAACCAATAATTGATGCTGTTAGACTCTGTAATTTTTGTCAATCTGATGAGTGTAAAATGATATTTCAGGTTTTTTGGCTTATACTTCTTTGGTTATAAGTGAGTTTGAGTATTCATGTGCTTATTAACTAGTTAAATTTTCTCAAATTACTGGTTAATAACCTTTGCCCACTTTTAAAAATTGGGCTGTTCACAACTTTTCTTGATTTGTTAGTTAGTTTGCTTTTTTTAATGTATTTTAGATACTAGCATGGGGCAGATGTACCATTACAAATCAGCAAGAAAAAAACTGCTTCTTTTAGTCTGTAGCATGTTTTATTTAATGGTCTCTTATGCATTTAGGATTTAAAATTTTTTTTTTTTTTTTTACTTTTTTTTTTATAGAGGCATGTTTTATTTATTTATTTGTTTGTTTGTTTGTTTTGTTTATACATGCACTGGGTACAGTCAGAAGCGCGGGAGGGTGAGAGAATTCACCAGAGCCAGAGCCGGGAGCAGAGCAGGCAGAAGGACCAAAGTACACTGCTGAGGGGAGCAGCAGGCGGCAGGAGAGGTCTGCGCGCCATGTGGGACCCTCCTCTGGTGGCTGGGGAGCAGCCGGGGATCGAACCGGCGCTGCAGAGTCTGCGGGCAGCTTCGCAACCCAGCGCTCAACCTCTGCGCCACCGGGGAGGCCCCTAGGATTTAAAATTTTTAATGTTATCTAATATATCTACTTTTTTATAATTTGTACTTCCTATAAATTGTCTTCCTTGTAATGTCAGGAAGATAACCTATACTTTATTCTTTGAATTTTATTTCATGTTTAGGGTTTTTATTTCATGTGTAGGGAACTAATTTTATCTTTTTCTGTGCTTAAAGCCAGTAATCCAGCATCATTTATTGAAAACTATCTTTTGTCACTGATTTATAATACTAACTCTTTGATAAAACTAGGTTCCATGTATGCATGGATCTGTTTCTAGACTCTTTGGTTTACTTATCTACCTGTACTCCAATAGCAGTGTTTTAAGTACTATGTAGTATGTATAGATATCTCATAAGAAAAATCTTACCCTAATACTCAATTTTTTCAGCCACCTTGTTTTGAGAGAATTTTAAAATCTTCCCCTGTGATTATGTATATGTCTAGTTCTCTTTGTAGGCATGTCAGATTTTGTGACTTGCCAATTCATCACCCTTCTTTATCTTTGTGGAAGATGATTGTTATTTTCTTAGTGATCTGTAAAAACTCTTCATATATGAAGTATTCTTTATATTAAAGATAGTTTTCTAGTTTTACCTTTCAGTTTTGCTATGCTTTTTTAAAATGTGTGAATTTAGTATGCTACAATATTTTTGCCTTTTGATTCGTTTTTAGAAAGTCCTTTCTCATTCCAAGATGACAGAAGTACTTGACTTCTGTTCTCTTCTAGTATATTTGTCCTTTAATTTTTCCATTAATTCATTAGGAATTGCTTTTTTACTTCTCTGGTTGAGTCTTCTTGGCTTTAGAATTGTTTGATGTTTGTTTTAATGTTCCTTACCTCTGTATTCCTCAAATCATAAACCTAACTGCCTGCGGGAGCCAGGAAGCAATATACCAGATTGACACAAGCAATGGTAAACTTAAAGAGCACATACCTTAACCAAAAGGAGTAACCATTGCTCTAGTAGTTTTAGCTCAAGGTCTGGCAAAATACTTATATAAAAGGCTAAATAGCATAACAGTTTAGTCTTTGGGAAAATGTGGTTTCTACTGCAAGTGCTCAGTCTGCCATAGTAGTGTGACAGCAGGCATTGGCAGTTCACATGAATGGAATATTTTTGTTCCAATAAAACTTTGTTTTGATAAATAGGCAGTAGTTGCCAACTTCTTTTTTAATTAGTTGCTGTCTATCAGTATGCTTCCAGTTTTCTTTGAAGAGAAACCCCATATTTGATTCTTATGTGAAATCTCCCTATCTTTAAAGTGTTGGAAACTAATCTCAGAAACTTTCTATGACGTACGTGGGTCAAACAAAACATGTCTGAGGTATAGATTTGTCCAACTGGTCACCTGTTTGCAACCTCTCTTTTCTCCTTAAGTAGTCTCATCCATTCTCACTACCAAATTATCTCTATCTAGATGAATTCTGACTTTGTGTTAGCACCCTAGACTTCCCCTTGCGACTCCTGTTCTGAACATTTGTGTAACTGTTGGATGTCTCAATTCACTTATGTCAAAGACACTACAAGCAACCTGTTGAAATATGCCCGAGTTCTCTATCTGTCCCTGCCCCCCACAACAGATTCTTTTCCAATAATTATCTTGATGATACTTACTATCTTATCAAAAATACAAGCCAGAATTCTATAAACAGTCTTTACATGTCCCTCTCTCTCTTACTCAATTCATTCACTGTCTTCATATTCTAAATATCTATTCATTGTTAACACCCCACCAGCTCCCTTTTGTTATTGTGGATGGCTGTGATAATCTCCCTGATTCTATCTCTACCCCTAATGTATTCCATTCTTTAAATTCTAGAGAGAACATCTTCAAAATGCAAATCTGGTGGTGTCACTCTTTTGCTTAAAATACTGTCATGACTTCCCATTACTCTTTGGGTAACAAGCAGAATCCCTGTGGCCTAAAGAGTCTTGGAAAATTTGATTTTTATCCATTATTACAGCTTCATCTCATATTTACTATTCTCTCTCCTTTTTTGGAAAACTTTTATCTACCACTGAGAACTTGATAGCTTCCTAACACTTAAAGATTTCCTAATACTTGAAGACCTAATATTTAAAGATAAGGTCAGAGCCTCCCTGGTTGTGCAGGAGTTCCAATTCTCAGTGCTGTCAAGCTACAGCCAGCCACTGCTGCATGAGTTCCATCCCCTGGCCAGGAAGCTGACCCACATGGCACAACAGACCTCTCCTGACTTGCCCGCTACTCCCCTCAGCAGTGTATTTCAGTAGATCCACCTATTCTGCTCCCCACTCTGTCTCTAGTGAATCTTTTCAACCTTCCCACCCCACACCTCTGGCCCCCCAGCAGCTCTGATATTAAAAACTGTGATTTTTAAAATACTGCATAATACAGTATTACTATTTGGAAGAGCTGTATAACTCAATGAACCAGTATTTTAAAAAGGAACAATAGATTTTAATTTAACAATATGAAAATCTCATGATTTGGTTGCAGATGCCACAGTGTATCTATTCTTTAAGAAACTACCATTTGCACAACATTTATTTTGGCATCATAGGACCTAATGTAACACCCCAATTATTGAGTATGCTAAAGAGCTTTTATGTGAGTTATATATACTAATACTGACTGCATTAGAAGTTAAAATAAAAATTTTTAACTATCAGATAATCCATTTAAAAATACCAGTTAAAAATGCACACAACCCATTATTACATATTAAACATATAACATAATTCATTTAAAAACAACTATTCTGAAACAAAAGTGGCTTTATTTTACATTTTAGAAAATCTCTTTGATGTATGGCTTAGTAGAAAACAACTCTGTTCTCCTTTGCTTTTTTTTTTTTTTTTTTTTTTTAAGATTTATTTATTTATTTATACAAGCACTGGGTACAGTCAGAAGCGCAGGAGGGTGAGAGGATTCACCAGAGCCAGAGCTGGGAACAGAACAGGCAGAGTGATGAAATACACTGCTGAGGGGAGCAGCGGGCGGCAGGAGAGGTCTGCGCACCATGTGGGACCCTCGCCAGTGGCTGGGGATCCAACCAGCACTGAAGAGGCTGTGGGCAGCTTAGCCACCCAGCGCTCAACCACTGCACCACCAGGGGAGACCCTCTCCTTTGCTTTTGAATGAAGTTTGTTGTGATGTGTTATTTTGGTTGATGAGCGAAGAAAATCCAGCTGCAGACCAGTATATATATATTAATAGTTGGAAGAGGGAGGATTATGTTACAGTCTCTTCAGATAATTATGGCTATTCTGGTACTTCAAAGCTGGACAAATGGTAATTTCTTAAAGAATAAATACAATGTGTTATCTGCAACCAAATCATGAGCTTTTCGTGTTGTTAAATTAAAATCTATTGCTCTTTTTTAAGATATTGGTTATTGAGTTATATAGCTCTTCCAAAATTCAATACAGCTCTTCTTATATAGCTCTTCTATTTCATGACATTGAATTATGCAGTATTTTAAAGATCACAGCTTTTAATATCACTTCTGACCTTGTCAGTGATAGATAAAAGTTTTCCAAAATTCTACTTTCTGCCTGAAGGCTCAAATTTTATCAAATACTGTCATATTTCAGAAAATGTCGCCGAATACCCAACTTAGATAACATAGTTTGTCATTTATTCTGTCGAGTGAAAATAGTGGTCCTTAAAAAGTGGCTGGTACAGTTCACAACTCCCAACTGTTGCATAAGTGGTTTCCTTTAAGATACCCATCATACTTTGATATGAACACAGTTGCTTTATTACTATTTCCTATTTCACTAATCTATACTATTTTTTAAACAACTCAAGATTGAAATTTAATAAAATTAATGGTTACTGTTTAAACATTTTTAAGTGAAACTGACATATTTAAAACAAAGTACACAATACTTTGTAAAGTACAAAGCACACAATTACTAGTAAGTTCATTATCCTGGTTTATGTTAAGTCATGAGTAGTTTTATCACCATTGCTTTTGCAACGTCAGGGGAAATGCCAAGGCAATGAAAAAGGCAAATAACATCTAAGTGCTTTTTTTGTGGTCCAGGGTTCCATGGGCCACACTTTGAGACCTCTACTTCTACCTATTATTTCTTACTTATTTAACAAATATCTATGTTGTATGTATCAGAGTTTACAGTGCTTTATAAATATCCTTAAATAATGTTCATTAAGGTAGTTATTATTCCTCATAGATACTGTTATTGCTTCATCTTATACATAAGGAAACTGAAGCAACTAAAATAACTTGTCCCAGTTGACATGGCTGGTAAGTGCTAGCGCTGGGAATTAAATTCATGTATTCTGATTACAGGGTCCATGCTGTCATCCACTATGCTTTTCATTTATATCCCTTTCACCTGAGGGCTTTTACAGATATCACTCCCTGTGCCTGGAATGCACACACCTGCTTTTCTATTTGTTAGCCTGTAAAACTTACCCATTCATCTCTCTTCAGGGATTTATTTCCTCAAGGAAACCTTTCTAATTTCCCTGAATTCTCCCTCTTCTATTTCATGCCATTTGCTTTATTTCTCGGTACTTACTACAGTTGTATTTTGAGTATATGTTTCTGATTGTTAGACTATATTCTCTCTCCCCTCAGCTGCATAGGGACTGCTTGGGTTTTTCCCCATTCCTAGCACAAAGCCTACTGTAAGGTAGATACTAAATAAATAATTATTGAATGAATAGAAAAGTAGACGAATGAATGAAAAAAATTCATTTGGCTGCATGGAATGAGCGAGAAACCTAACTTAATTTTCTTCTAAATGTTTAATATGTTGTCATTGCACCATTTTTTGGAAAGACAAATTTTTTCATTGACGGAAATATTACCTTTGTATGGTCATTAATTCTAATATGTACTTGCCTTTGTTTCTGAACTTACTTTCTTTTCATTATCTATACTTATTTCTTTCAATGCTCTTTAAATTACTTTAGTTTTTTTTTAATTAATTAATTTATTTATACAAGAACTGGGGTATAGGCCAGATGCACGGGAGGGTGAGAGAATTCACCAGAGACAGAGCAGGGAACAGAACAGGCAGAATGACGAAATACACTGCTGAGGGGAGCAGCAGGCGAGACAGGAGAGGTCTACTGCACCCTGTGGGATTCTCACCAGCCGGCCGGGATTGAACCCACACTGCAGAGGCTGTGGACAGTTTCACAGTGCTGCGCTCAACTGCCTGCGCCACCAGGGGAGGCCCTACTTTAGCTTTTTAAAGGAGTTTCATATTGGGTGTAAAAATTCTAGTACATTTATCTTCCCTCTCTCTTATGTTCTGATACTTTTCCTGTGGATAACCATTTTTATTAATATTTTGTTTCTCCATCCATATATTTTCAAACTATAACCAAACATATATATATATGCACATATATATTTGTATCCCTCCATTTTTTTTCCTACTCAAAAGGTAGCAGACTATGCATGCTCATTTGCAGTTTGTTGGATTTTTTATCATAAAAGCTTTGTGAGGGAAGATTAAAATGGAGATGAAATGCATATTTGGACTTGAGTAAGACTGGACAACTGGAAATAACTTCCCTTTATACTAACTTATAAATGCTTGGCTATTTATTATAGTAGTAGATATTCTATAAGGGGCTGTTCTCCTCTATCCTGATTTACTGTGTTCATTACTACTCATCCAGTGATGTTTCTTCTGCACCCGTCTTTCTTCTGTATTTCTCATCACCATTCCCTGTTTTGACTCTCCTGGATAGGGTCTACTTATTTCCTCTACATATTCTGTGCATTAGTTTTTCTCCACTTGCTTCTCTTTGAACATCATCTTACAAGAATCAGATCTACTTAGTCCTGGAAGCCATGCTTTTCACCATCATTAACTATTAGCTGTTTTAGACCTGCCTTTTGTTAAGCACAGAAAACAAAGGAAATTTGCATTTCCAATTTCTTGCAGACCTGGAGACTAGACCTGAGAGCAATGGTTCAACTGCAATAGAAGATTTTTCCAAAGAAGAATCGTGCCAGGTTGCAATAATAGATAGACTGGCAAGGAATAATGTCTATGACTCCAACTTGGAAACAAGTCTAGAATGTGAAAATTGGTTAGAGAATCAGCAGGAAAATAAAGAGGGACATTTAGAAATGTTCACCCAAGTGAAATCTCTCCCTGAAGAAAGAGCTCATGAGCATGATATATATTGGAAAAACTTAGGCCAAAACTCTGCCCTCCTCACTCAAGACAGAATTCCCAAGAGACCCTATACCTTTCATGCACTTGAAAAAAGATCAAAACAGAAACAAAACTTATTGAAGAAGCAGAAAACCTATAAGGAGAAAAAGCCTCATAAATGTAATGATTGTGGTGAACTATTTACTTACCATTCAGTGCTTATTCGACACCAGAGAGTCCATACAGGAGAGAAACCCTATAGCTGCAATGAATGTGGGAAATCTTTTAGCCATAGAGCTAATTTAACTAAACATCAGAGAACTCATACTAGAATTCTTTTTGAATGCAGTGAATGCAAGAAAGCCTTTACTGAAAGTGCATCCCTTGCAATACATCAGAGAATTCACATTGGAGAGAGACCATATGAATGCAATGAGTGTGGAAAAGGCTTTAATCGAAGTACACATCTTGTGCAGCATCAGCTAATTCATACTGGAGTGAAACCTTATGAGTGTAATGAATGTGATAAAGCTTTCATTCATTCATCAGCACTCATTAAACATCAAAGAACTCATACTGGAGAGAAACCCTATAAATGTCAGGAATGTGGGAAATCCTTTAGCCATTGCTCATCCCTTACTAAACATCAGAGAGTCCATACCGGAGAAAAGCCATATGAATGTAGTGAGTGTGGAAAAACCTTTAGTCAGAGCACACATCTTGTTCAGCATCAGAGAATTCATACTGGAGAGAAACCCTATGAGTGTAATGAATGTGGGAAAACTTTCAGCCGGAGCTCAAATTTTGCTAAACATCAAAGAATTCATATTGGAAAAAAACCATACAAATGTAGTGAATGTGGAAAAGCATTCATTCATTCTTCAGCTCTTATTCAACATCAGAGGACTCATACTGGGGAGAAACCCTATAAATGTAATGAATGTGGGAAAAGCTTTAAGTGCAGTTCCTCCCTTATCCGACATCAAAGAATTCACACTGAAGACCAACCCTGAAAAATTATTGAAGAAATGTAAGTTGTTTTTCACACTGTGTTAAGTCCTGGAGTGTTTAGGTGGAAGACCCATAAAATGCTGCTTGAATATCCATCTGTATGCATCTAATGTTACTTGCATAATAGCAAGTCTATGAGCCATAAACCATTGGTTTATTAATTGTGAAAATTTCTAACTTTCTGTCAGCAATCTCAAATTTTGATCCCCAGCTCTCCCATATACCTTTTCGTAGAAATTCAAGAAATTCTTGGGAGTGCGCTGACAATATAATAGTGTAATACTCAATTTTCCCCTTCCTTTGTCACATCAAAGTCCTGTTAACACTTCTCACTTTGTAAAGTAGTTCATATTTTGTGGGGTAAGCAGAGGGTTCCTCTTTGAATCCAAAGAGATATCCAGAAAGTCTCATTTATTTTATATTAGCTGTAAACTCTTAAAGGCTAAGTTCAACTATACTTCGGATTTTGTCCCTCCCCCAGAACATGACTGTCCAATGAACGTAATTAGACTGTATCTATATATGAGGTTCTAAATTAATATTCCTGTGGATTGTGTTGGTCATAAATTTAGGTAATTGCCATTCTTCTGCTATTTAGCAGTTTATCAATTTTCTGCTTTCTTGAGATTTACCCTAAAGTAGAGAATGGGTCAAAACATTAACTTTTTATCAAGTCCCTCTAATTTTTTTCTTAGTATTGGGTGAATCCTTGGCTGTCTGTGTCCACAGTAACAGGGAGGCTTCATTCATTACATTATTCTGTTTTCTATAAACTGTGTCGCTTTAAGAAGACATGGAATATTGAGGATCTGAAAAGTTTATGGGTTCAAAATGTTATACTTAGGGTCCCAGTCAAGAAGATCTGAAGCAACTGTGAGACACAAGGACATGCCTTCCTGTCAGAAAAGGAAAATAGCTCATAGGTTAGTGATTCACTTGAGGATAAAGAGCTTCCCTCCATGACAAAGTTGCCATTTTTCTGGCCTTTACGTTTACCCACCTTTTTTGTTGTTCTTTTTCTCTGTATATGTTGGTCTTTGTTATATACTAAAATCCTAAAGAAAATAGAAAAGGCATGAAATCCAATGATGTATTGATATGTTCCATAGTGACCAAAAACCAGTAGTGGCATTGGAAAAATAAGCAAATATTCAAATAAATATTTAGCAAAACACAAATTTCAGTTTTTATCATTATATATTGTGTGGAAAGGTGATAGAAACGATAGAGGAAAACATAGGTCTCAGGTTTTTTTCTTTCTCTTCTCCTAAATCTTAGCCCTTTTGAACATCCAGCTGCCAGTCCATGCCCTTGTCCCCTCTATGCTATCCCTGTTACCTCTTTAATTCTCTCTCTGTGGGCTTTAGTTTCATTATTGAGGAAAAATAGAAGGGAAAAGTTTAAAGAATTGGTGGTAGTGACAAGATCAGTAAGGATGAATCAAGTCTAAATCCAGCAATAGTAGAAATACAAGAAAAGAATAGAAAAATGAAAGGATTGGAAGGAGGTTTTAGAAAAGAGTTAAAATGGTTTTAAAAAGACTCAGTGGGGTATAGGTGTTTGGGAAGCCTCAAGGTCAGAGAAGTCAGGTAAGGAGAATGGGTGGCACAGAAATAAAAATGAAAAAGGGGCTCAACCTTTTTCACTACTGTAATATTCAGTATTGTCTAAAGCAAAAATTGACAAACTATCCTGGACCCACACACCAAGTCCAGCTTGCTGCCTTTTCTCTCAATGTGTTTTGGAACTCAGCCATACTCTCATTTATATATTGTCTTTGACTATTTTTCTCCTGCTCTGCCAGAATTGAGTAGTTGCAGTAGAGATTATATGTCTTAAAAAGCCTAAAATACTTGCTATCTCTCAATATGCCAAATGTTTGCGTGAGAAAAAAGTTTATTATTTGGGTACCAAATTTTGACTAACAAGATAAACATGGGCTTTCCAATGCTGTACTTGAATTCTGCCACCTCCACTTAGCAATTATGTGACCTCAGAAAGCTGCTTTACTCTCTGAGCCTTGGTTTATCTGTATAATGGGAATAAATCATCCCTGTCATAAGATTGTTGTGAGGATTGCATAGGACAGTGTACATAAAGGATCTTGCATACAAAAAAAACAGCTATACAAAAAACCTCCATGTATTTGTATTTTTTAAATAACCCTTAAAAAATCAGTCCATTTGTTCTGCTATAACAGATGTATCACAGATGGGGTGCCTTAAACAATAAGCATTTCTCATAATTCTGGTGACTGGGAAATCCAGGGTCAGGGCACTCGCACAGTGCCTGGTGAAGGTCAGCTGTTCTTAGACAGACATCTTTTTGTTGTCTCCTCACATGGTGGAAGGGCAAGGGAGCTCTCTAGGGTCCCTTGTATAAGAGCTCTGGTTTCGTACATGAGGGCTCAGCCCATGTGATCTAATTGCTTCCCGAAGACCCCACCACCTAACATAACCACATTGGGATTAGGTTTCAACACAAATTTGAGGGCAGCAAAAATATTCTATCCATAGGAAGTGGCTAAATTATCTATCAGTAGAAATAGTTAATGGTTGTCTTCATTATCCTCTGTATACTGTCAGAACTGACCATTCTGCTCTCTGGCTTAGAGGAGCTTCATTTTTTCTGCTCTTGCTTCCATTTGGTGCCTCCCTACACAACCTTCTTGAGATTTTGTGGAATCTTTTTTTTCCTTGAGTACCACTTACCCAGGGGCTATCTGATGGTCCCATAGACTCCAGTTTATAATCTAATTACAGCTTAGTGTTCAGGGACTTGCTCGAAATTAGCGTTTCTGAGGACTCCGACCTTTTCCATTTCAGTATTCTTTTTATGCACAGTGTTAAATCTGAGTATGTGTTTGTACTCTGACATGCACCTTGGAAGTTTTAATGTTCTGCTTTTCAAATGTTTTTGGTTACCTATAAATCAAATTTGATTGTTCTTTTGGCCCACTGTCAATAAAGATGTTGTTTATATATCTATTGTCAGAAACTTTTATAAGTTGCTTTTAATTGCTTATATAAGCCTATTTTAAGGAAGACCAGACATCATTTTTTAGGAAACCAGTACTTTTCTGATTGTTCGTTTGAGCATCACAACTTCTGAGAGATAAGGTGGGGCCTGCCCTCCACGCCCACACATGCATGAGATGGTTGCAGGGTAGAGAAAGTGGTGCTGAGGGTTCTCAGGCCAAGTGCAGATACTACTCAGCCTGGATAACTTGGGGGAGAGTGGGACAGGGAAGAACTTCTTATTAAAAGTAGTTTAAACTAGGCAGGCAGGATGTATTTTAAAAACCAGCACATTGATGTGTTTAAAAGCATCTAAATTGGTGAAGACAGTGTATCAACCAACAGTATAAAACAATAGTATAATATACAAAATTACTCAAATTAGTTGGCAATTTAATCATTAAATTTTCTGTTTAAGTCTCGTGATTTTTAAGTTTCTTCATTCACTTTTTTTCTGTTAATATTATTTCAGGGCTCAGGGTAAAAGCTTTTTCCCTGCTTTCTCTATTTCTGTGCTCTTTTCTAGGCCCCTCCTGGGGAGTCAGGATCCAGAACCACTAACTTGTTCCTCACCACAGGTTTTATTGATGGAGGGGGTGGCGGGTATTCCTCTGTAGTGAGGCATATAATGTGGCATCTATGGGTTATATTATATTTTTGTGTGATGGGCTCAAAAAATTAGATGTTTTCACTAAACCGTTGTTCTGTGTATTTTTCACAATGTAGCCTGTTTTTACTTAACCTATGTCAGTCCATAAACCAGGTAATCTGCCCTTAGATTGAATTGACTATATGCAAAATACATACCTAACCTCCATCCCACCTACCAGTTCACCCATACATTTGGGGGATCTGAGGGATGAAACCAGAGATTTAGGCATTCTAGATCAGAACTGTTCACTTCCATCTCTACTGTTGTTTCCTCTGCACTGGCTATATTTTCATAGGTCTCCTCCAGTGGTAACAAATGCATCTCTTCCAAGTTTGCATGGTTCTTAACATTTGCAATCACCAGGACACTGTCTAAATAGTTCCAGCAAAATCCCCAAGCATTTTCTTGAATCATGCTAATCACTGGAACATTTACTGCCTTGGACACAACAGGGAACATCACAGTGGAAGAGGTGAAGGATTTCCTAGGCTCTTCAGAGGAATCTGAGAAGAATCTGAGAAACATGGTAAAAGTTGAAACTCCAGCCGGTGCCATCCTGATCAAATGAGGAGGGCCAGAAGTGCCTGACCACCACTTGCTCTGCTCAAAGCTGAGATCCAGGATCACTGGCCCCTCCACACCTGCTAACCTGGCAGCTCCAGTGGCACCTGCACACCACTGGTCCCAGGGCAGCCCCAGAGTGTGGGCCTGGATTCCACCCAGAGGGCCTGAGGGGCTCCTGGCTACCCTGAGACTGGGTGCCACAGCTGGGGTTGGCAGCTGCTCTGCATAGCCTCCCCCTTCCTTTGCAAAGAACATATTTCTAACACCTGTGCTGGGCAGAACAGAGTTCTATAACTATTTTGGTACTGCTCCTACCAGATCCAGTCAGGAAATTATGTTTGTGTATCTGGGGGTGTGGTCAGGATGGGTTTCCCTGAGATTGTACCTTGGGGTTTTTGTCATTTTGTTAAAATTAGTAGTTTTAATATTAAAAATAGTGATTTTTAATATTGAAATAAAAGCACTTAATATCTAAAAAATTATTTATTGCCTCAGGCTTGGGGTTCTCTCATTGACCAGGTGTGAGTCTACTTAAAACCCTGCAGTTGGAGAGAGTGAAGTTCATCCCACTCACTTGAAAGAGATTTCAATTCTTTCCTGGTTTTTAATTATTGTGAAGATACTATGAAATTTGCTTTGAAAAGAAAGAGATACCAATAAAAATATGCATACACTGCTTATGTAGACACTTTTACGTTTTACTATCACATTCTTAATTGCAAAAGTAGTTTATATTATCCAGTGCAGGAAAAAAAATGAGACGTTGAAAGTCAACGTTTCATTCCTGTAGGGTTAAATAAATTGTTAAAAATTCAATTTTTTTAGATTTATTTTTATTTATTTATGCATACAAGAACTGGGGTGTAGGCCAGAGGTGTGGGGGGTGGTGAGAGGATTCACAAGAAACAGAGTGGGGAGCAGAACATGTGGATCTACTGAAATACACTGCTGAGGGAAGCAGCGGGTGAGACAGGAGAGGTCTGCTATGCCATATGGGTCAGTTCATTGGCCAGGGATCAAATTCATGCCGCAATGGGTGGCAGTTGATAGCATTGAGATTTTAACACCTGTGCCACCAGGGAGGCCCTAAAATTCAATTTGATGTTGAAAGTATATGTAACCTGGGCCTCCCTGGTGGCACAAGGGGTTAAGAAGCAACCTATAAAGCTGTCCGCAGCCACTGCAGCACAAGTTCGATCTCCGGACAGGGAGCTACCCACATGGCGCAGCAGACCTTTCCTGACTAGCCCGCTGCTCCCCTCAGCAGTGTATTTCAGTCATTCTGCCTGTTCTTTCCCCACTCTGGTGAATCTTCTCATTCCCTCTCCCCCCCACCTCTGGCTTGTACCCCGGTTCTTGTATGCATAAAATAAATAAATCTTCAAAAAAAAAAAAAAGTATATGTAACTAACCTTTGCCTTATTTCTAAGTTTTGGATAATTTTTCTTGGCCTCCCCTTCAGCTTGTAAGTGAACTACAAAGATACTTTATTTCAGAAAAGTCTGGATTGTGGTTTGTTACTTGGCTTTATTCTGTTACATAAGCACTGTGCTATGTTAATTAACTCCTATAGGCCATTTTGTTCTGTAAGCAACTATAGGGCCATGTGAGTCTCAGCAACTACTAGGAGCAGAAAACAAATTTCTGTCTGGTGATTCATAAAGTATCTAGGGTTTCATTCTCAACAGTATCATTCTATAACAGAGCAACCCCAAGGTGAAACCGGTTGGCCTGACTGTGGGTCTTCACCTGCACACTTATAAGGGACTTTTAATAAGGCTTAACTGCAGTCAGACACAAAAAAGTTTAAATAAAGGACTTATTTACAAAAAGGGGAAATGAAGAAAGGAATAACTCAGGGAGAAAGAAGAGAGAAGTTGGTCCTACCAGTGAATGTGTCCTACCAGTTCTGTTGATCTGGAAACCCCAATAGCATGCTGAAAGCCAGCAAAAAACCAAGGACCCCCGCAAGTCCCACATGTCTGGTTATATACCAAACCTGGCTGCTTAACTCTACCTTCATTTTCCAGCAATCCTCCCTTCAGTGGTGATGACATTATGAGATTTGTAGTACTCCTTGTCTTGGCTCTCTCTGGTCTGGGGTGGTGGTGGGGTCCATAAAATCTGTATGTGGAGTTTGTTCAGGACATCCTTTACCCCCAACAATTCTATAGATTTTTTAAAAAGATTTATTCATACAAGAACTAGGGTACAGACCAGAGGTGTGGGGGGGTGAGAGGATTCACTAGAGACAGAGTGGGGAGCAGAACAGGCAGACTAAGTTTATCAGGGAGGCCCTAATAAAACTCAAGTACAACCAGGAAAAACTAAATTTTGCTCACAAAAAATTTCTGCCAGTTCATCGCTGGTGATGGTGGACTGACTCACTGATATTTTACTTGAGATTGGTGGCTCACTGTGGTAGCAGAGTAGGGAGCCGGAGGAGTAACTGCATCCATGGCAGTCGCCATTCCAGTCAAGACTAATAAACTGGAGATCAAGCACAGGTTGTGCAGTGCACATACCATACATGGGGACTCTTCTAAGATGTACATAGGCACTGGGACTGTTGGTTTAGTTGCAGAGCACCTGGGGTCTGGCCATACAGGTGACAAAGCCCCATCTCTCCTCCCTACTGGGAGATCAGAGAGACTCGTGGCTGTACACTGCAGTGAGGAGCGTGAAAAAGAGAGGTTCCCGAATTTGGGCTCTTAAGTGTGAACAATGTTTGCTCTGAAGAGTAAGGGGAGGAGAGGCAATGTAAAACTACGCACGGAACAGTCTACTGAACAAAAGGCACCCTGTGCATGGCTTTGAGGGGCATCTCCCCAGTGCACACCCTCAATCTCCCCCTCATCCCACCTCACCCCTGCAGCTTCCAACTTGTGCAGTCAGAATGCTCAGGTCACCTGGAGAGATCACAGGCCGCTAAGCAAAGGACACCCAGGCTGCTTGTGGCTGACCTCAGTGGCCAGAAGCAGCTGCTTCTCCCCTATGAAAGCAAGTTTCTCCAGAATAACTGCTGAGAAAGGGTCAGAAGTGTTGCTGGAAACTAGATCTAGCAGTCCAAGTACAAATTAGGACCATGTTTGGTTTTGGCAGGTCCCTGGACAGCCTGATAACTGCACAATACGCACCTACCCCAATGCCTGAGCCCACAAAGTAGGAAAATGTTAGGCGCTGAGGATTCTGGGCACTGTAGTTCCGACATCCCGCTGCGCAGGCGCACTGGCGTGCGTGGGGGCCGGCCATCCGAGCCAGCGCCATTGCTGGAAGCGTTCCCGCCCTGCTCTGCGAGTGCCCTCAGTTGTCCTCAGTTCGGACGCCAGGTACTCATTACCCCGGGCGCCAGGCCGGGATTCCCCTCGCCCCTCCCTCGGCTCCTGCCTCCCTGAGGCGTCCGGGGCGTGGCCGTTCCCAATGCGTCCGTGTCGCTGAGCTGACCCGCCCACCCCGAGAGGCGATTGGGCCGGGGGCTCCCGGCTGGGTGTCGGCGGTCTGCCCGGCCTCGCTGCGGGCGGTCTGCGCCCTCGCGGAGACTGCGGCCCCGGGGGTTGGGGGGCCGAGCGCCGGCCCTGGCTAGGGGTTCCACTAGGGCGCGCGGGCCGCAGACCAGACTCATCCCTCTTTCCAGCCCCGTGCCTTTGATGGAGGGAGGAGGGGAGCCCCCCAAGTGGACAGGGAGGTGCTGTTAGGGGGGCAACCCAAGTGGACAAGAAGGTGCTGTTAGGGGGGGAACCCAAGTGGACAGGGAGGTGCTGTTGTGGGGGGAGCCCAAGTGGACAGGGAGGTGCTGTTGAGGGGGAACCCAAGTGGACAGGGAGGTGCTGTTAGGCGGGGAACCCAAGTGGACAGGGAGGTGCTGTTAGGCGGGGAACCCAAGTGGACAGGGAGGTGCTGTTAGGCGGGGAACCCAAGTGGACAGGGAGGTGCTGTTAGCGGAGGAGGCAGAATTTCTGCCTTGGCTTCTGAACCTGCAGGTGAGGAACCGCCTTTGGGTAACCAAGTCAGGTTTTACTTGTCAGTTCATTTTACGGCTCTTCAAATAATCACCTTTAAAGCACGTCTCTTCTGACATGACAGTGTACCTTGCTCTGGTTGGGAAATGCTGGCCTGGCCCATCGCGCTTAATTTTCAGTGAGAGCCTGGTCTCTTCATTATTTTCAAATAACTACACTGGGTTAGGAACCACAGCAAGTGAAATTTCTCTTTGACACTCTTGCAGTGCTTGGGAAGACAGGACTGACATCTAGGGACATTATTACAGGGGGGGCAGGGAGGGGTGGAGGTTAACCTAAACATCTTCTGCGTAAGGCCAAAGGTGAAAGAAGAAACTTAAAATGTGGCTAGCCTTACCTGGTAATAACTAATTCATTTTGCTCAAGTGACTTGCCTATATTCACATTGCCATGGCCGAACATTAGAACCTAGGAGTGTGGACAAAAACTCAAGAATTTTATTCCTACACCAAACATTTAGGTATATGTAGGTCCTTATAAAGTTGTCTACTTGGAAAATACAGAACACTAGAAAGAAGAGTATAACTCACAGTGCCCAGGCAGGTCTTAGAGAACTCAGTAGGGTTTTGCTTTACTCAGTTGCAGTGTTTTTCTCTACATTTTATTTTTACACAATTGAGATCAAGGTGAATATATAGACTCAAATAGCATTGTTAATTCCGATTATAAAATAAAATAACTTTGCTTAGTAAGCATATTTGACTCTACATGGCAAATTGTCAAGAAGGTGTTTATTAATCGTTACAAATTTTAAAAGAAATGGTGATTTAGGTCATTTTTTTCTAAGATAGTAATCCTTAGTTTTTATTGAAATATAAATGCTATCAAATACAAGATATAATAAATATACATTATTAATTTTTTCAAGGCAGGTTCTCAATAGTACCTTTATTTCCCACTAACTCAGGTCATTCTTTGAAAGCTTGTTTTTTTTAAGATTTATTTTTATTTATTTATGCTTACAAAAGCTGGGGTATAGGCGAGAGGTGGGTGGGGGAGCATTCACCAGAGACAGGGCAGGGAACAGAACAGGCTGATCTACTGAAATACACCGCTGAGGGGAGCAGCAAGCTAGACAGGAGAGGTCTGCTGCACCATGTGGGTCAGCTCCCTGGCAGGGGATAGAACTTATACTGAAGTAGTTAGCTGTAGCTTGATAGCAGCAAACCCTACTGTGATTCCTTGGAAGTGAAAATAACTCAGTCATTGTTTATAGGTCTCCTTTCTGTAATTGGGGAAAATTTTTTTTTTCTTTCACTCCATTTTTATTTCCACCCTTTTAAAGCTGGACTTCTTAACTTGGGGATTAGTGTATGGACTGGTGGGGGGGGGGTGTCTTCACACACCCAGAGATAATATGCAATATCACATGTGCATGTGCCTTATTTCCATGGACAGGATCAGCTTTTCACATGGTTCCATAATACCCCAAAAGTTAAGATTTTCTGGTGTTGATGTGTCATTATTGCTAGTATTTGTTAGTATCAATTTTTATTTCAAATTATGTTTGAACAAGTGTTGATTCTGATTTTCTTTGTGGTCATGATCTTTATGGTATATGACTAATTTTAGCAAGTGCTCCACGAATACTTGAACAATATTTGAGTATTCAAGTTTCAATATATTCATATCTACTTAATTTCTCTATCTAATGTTCTTTGAATTTATAACAGCCTTGCTCTACATAATATAATTTTTATAATGTTTAAAAGGGCATGGTTAATTACTGTGTCATTTCAGGGAGCTTTTGATTGGTACAAACTGTACAATTAGAGATTAAGTTCTGCTCTGTTTATTGAGCAAAAGCTACTTAATTTGCTGATAATACTTTCCGCACAAAGTAGAATTTCTACAGAACTCAGAACTATGTCACTGTCCCTTTATGCTTAAGTTTAATATTATAGAGAAATTTATATTAACAGTCTGTACCATTTGGTATAAGGAAATACCATAAATGTGGCACCGTTTCTTGAACCAACTCCACATCAACAAGGCTACATCCTCGTTAAAGAAGGAGGTAGAAGGGCCTCCCTGGTGGCACAAGGTGTTAAGACACAGTACTATGAAGCTAGCAGCAGCCACTGCAGCACGAGTTCCATCCCCGGCCAGGCAGCTGACCCACATGGCGCAGCAGAACTCTCTTGTCTCGCCCGCTGCTCCCTTCAACAGTGTATTTCAGTCAATCTACCTGTTCAGTTCCCCACTCTGTCTCTGGTGGGTCCTCTCACCCCCAGCACCTCTGGCCTGTACCTCAGTTCTTATATGCATAAATAAATAAATCTTTTTTTTTTAATCACACAAATTGATTTAGTGGAAAAGGTGGGGCATTAGAATTAGACTGATTTGGAGTCAGAGATAGCCTTGGGTAAGTAGTTTGATTTTTCCTCATATGGAATGGGAGCATAATTCCCCCTGGGATGGTGTGAAGATCAAATGAGAAAGAATCTTGAAAGGTTCTTGTACAATGCCTTGACTGCTAGCTGTGACTACATTTAATGGTATTGAAATTAAAATTTCAGAATCCCCTGGAATAGAATCTTCCTCCTTTGCTGATCTTGGGGATTGATCTTGTGTTTTTTAGGGGAACTGTGCTCACTGATGTGTCAGGATTCCAACTTGGTGAGACTGAGATTTCTAATGCAAGACTGGTTTTCATGACTAAATATTTCTCTTTCTCAGATATGTCTTTGCAGGATTCCACTTTTTCCAGAAAGGGAAACACAGAAAAAATTGTGACTGCTATGGTTTTTTCTATTGGAACTCTGGTAAGTTGGGGTTTCTTCTGTTTTTGTCCTGCTACCTTGGTTTGAGAACATGTCTACTTTTCCTGAAGTCTTGTGACTTGATTACCTCACCTACAGCCCTCTGGTAACTGAATCAAATTGTTTGATCCATGAAAATTATGTTCATCATAGTAAAAAATTGTGATATGTAGGGAGATCCACTATACATATGAACCAAATTTCAAGGCACATAAGCTTTCAGTAAATATCTGGGCAGTCTTTAAATATGATAGGCAGTGAGAGAAATTTACTTTTGATGCTAAATTGTGTTGTATTGTTCCCAGGAAATTTCAGTTACATATAGGATAATAGAATGAAATTTTTTCAATTGGGAAGGGAAATTTTATTTGGGAGAAAATATATGTATACATGCACAAACAATTCATAGGGACTATTCTCCTTGTGCACCTCTCAGTAATCTTCTGTTTTCTACCCATTAAGATGTAATCAATATTAATAGATGACATGGAGAGAAAGAAAATGTCTCAAGACACAGTGCTTGGCTGTAGGGAGCTTACCATCTCAGGTATACATATGAAATAGTTACATTATTTATTTAGGTGAATGATGATTTCTTAGTAGTATGATAGACATGATGAGTGCTATGAAGATAAGAAATAGGACATTAATATAGGCTAAATTGGTTATGGAAACCTCACGGGAATAGATTTAAGCAGTACCCAATTACAAGTGATTTGTATTTATGAAGTTACTTCAGGTCAGAAAGGGGTTTAAGAGCAAGACTCTAAGGAAGCACACAGTGGGTAAACTAGTGATTCAGGCTGAAAGTGATGACACTTAGCTGTATATATCTATGTGTGTGGGTATGTGAAGGAGATTGGTATTAATGTGATAAAAGATTTGTTTCAGCAATGACTTTTTGAAATAGATTCAGAAGTAATGCCACCAAATGCAATTTGTCATAGTAATGATAGTAATGATTGGTTATAACCTATAGTGATCAGAATACATAGCACGTAAATAATGGCTAAAAAAGAAAGATCAATAAATATCAAAATATTGCACATTTTCAATAGACCCAACGTATTTGACTAATATTGACCTAATTATACCCATCCCTAATTATCAGAAGTTGAAAGTCACATCATTGTTAACTTTCAGGAAGTTGAATATTTGTATTTTTATTTTAAAATAAGAACTTGGGAGGGGAGAAAATTATCCTTGAAATTTAGGTAACACTTTTCTCAATGAAATTTAAATAAACAATATCATTACCTATCATTGTTTTTAATGGCACAAAATCTAAACTTAAGTACTACTAGAAGGTGTAGTAAAATTTCATTTATAAAATCAGGTCCTTTGGGGTTATAGTTTCTAAGGTTAGAAGAAAACAATGTTTTGAGAGATTACTGAAATGTTTCTTAAGTGGTCAGTGAAACTTGCCCGCCCTCCGACACTAATTATTTTTCAATTGTAAAAACGGATGATTTCTGAGAAATGGATTTCATCCCCCTATATAAAAGGAGAAATATGTAGTACCCAAAGAGGCCCCTTTGTAAGTTTATTCTTATTTTAATAGGTTCTTTATTAAAAACCTCCATTACACATAATGCAGTTATATCTTTCTCATGCTCGTATGTGTCTCAAATAAGGCAAAAGAAGATGATGATGGGCTGTTACTATGGTACCTAAATTTCAGCCATAACTAAAAAGTGAAAGGGGTCAACTCATACACACCCTATCCACAGTGGACTAGTGTGGTGCTTGCTGAGAGTCTGTTGTCAATATAGGCAGCCTATCTCTTATCCTTTATCTCCTCAGAGTCCTGAAGTTTCCCAGCCAGACAAACATCTTCACCTTCAGGGAGAAGAACCAAAATTGGCAAAGGTAATACCTAGAATTATATGTAAGGAAATAAAGAAAAAGGCCCTCTTTTACTGCCACTATGTCTTAATGTTCCCAGTTCATTGCAAGTACACAATTAATACCCTCTCTGCTTGCTATATGCAGTAAGCTCAGGGCTGGTAGCATCAATCTCACATTTCATTTCTCTCAGTTCTTAGTGGGAAAAGTAAACAAAACTTTCTAAGTTCATTGTAATTTGTGTTACATGTGAAATGATTAATAATAAATTTTATGAAATTATCTCCCAGCCATATTTTATTATTAGCAGAATTATATAAAACATGTCTTGGGATTCCCCTGGTGGCACAGCGGTTGAGCGCTGGGCTGCGAAGCTGCCTGCAGCCTCTGCAGCGCTGGTTCGATCCCCAGCTGCCGGCGAGGGTCCCACATGGTGCAGGAGAGCCTGCCACGCCCGCTGCTCCCCTCAGCAGTGTATTTCCTCAGTCTGCCTGTTCTGCTCCCCGCTCTGGCTCTGGTGAATTCTCTCACCCTCCCGCACTTCTGACTGTACCCAGTGCTTGTATAAATAAATCTTAAAAAAAAAAAAAAAAGTGTCTCACAAACTTTGAGGTCCAAATAAAGAGGTTTAATCAATTTGACAAGTATTTATCTCTATGGCGGAAAACTTTCCCAGAGGATGTTTCTCCTGAGAGAGAACAAATCTTAACCAAATATGCTCTAACTTGAGACCTTTGCTTAATTAGTCAGCTACTCAGGTCTTTTAGTGTACTATATCATGGAGTAGGATGAATTTGAGTTTGAATTCTGGAGTCAAACTGCCTAAAGTTGAACCTCGAGTTTGCCACTTCTGTAAAAACTTGGGCACGTAAACTCTTCATGCATCACTTTCTTTTTCATAGATTAGCAACTTTCTTACTGTGAGATGTCAATCAATTATTATATAAAAGCCCTTTAGAGCAGTACCGGACAAATAATGTGCACTATACTTAGACAGAAATAGAAAGAGTGGTTTGATGAATCCCCTTGCATCTATTGCCCATCTTCAACCATTCACTTATTCTGAAGCAAATACATTACATAATTTCATCTACAAATATTTCATTATGTATCTATAACAGATTTTTTAAATGTTAAATATGTTAGTGATTCCAGCAAAAAAAAAAAAATAGCTTTAATGTTATCAAATATCGAGATGGTGTTTGTTTTCCCAGTTGATTTATATATTACGATTAGTTAATTGTGCCTGTTAGGTTTTTTTGTTTTTTTCTTATTAAAGATGTATTTATTTATACAAGAACTGGGGTACAGGTCAGAGGCACGGGAGGGTGAGAGAATTCACCAGAGAAAGCAGGGAGCAGAACAGGCAGACGGACCAAAGACACTGCTGAGGGAGCAGCGGGCGAGGCAGGAGAGGTCTGTCACGCCATCTGGGTTTCTCCCTGGATGGCTGGGAATCGCACCCGCGCTGCAGAGGCTGCGGACAGCTTCACAGTGCAGCATTCAACCCACTGCGCCACTAGGGAGGGCCTGGCCTGTTAGGTTTTAATCTAGTCATTTCCTCCTCCCTATTTTCCCCCTTGAAAACACCAGATCATTTGCACTTCAGTGTGTTATCCAGTACAGTAGCCATATGTGGCAGTTAAGCACCTAAAATATGACTGTCCAAATTTAGATATAAATTAATAAGTGTAAATATATAAAATATACATCTTATTCCAAAGATTTTCTCAAAAAAAACTGTGAAGTATCATTAATTTTCATTATATATTGAAGTTACATTATTTTGTATATATTTAGACTAAATAAAATATATTAAAATTAATTTCACAAGTTTTTACTTAATGTGGCTTCTGTGTAACTTAAAATTACATATATGACTTGCATTTTATTTCTATTGGACATATTTTATTTTTATACAATATGGATTTTCTTGATCATATTCCCATGAAGTTATTTTTTTTAAAGATTTATTTATTTATACATACAAGAACGGGGTTATAGGCCAGAGGTGTGGTGGGGGGAGGTGAGAGGATTCACCAGAGACAGAGTGGGGAGCAGAAAAGGCAGATTGACTGAAGTACACTACTGAGGGAAGCAGTGGGCAAGTCAGGAGAGGTCTGCTGTGACATGTGAGTTGCTCCCTAACCGGCCGGGGATGGAATTCGTGCTGCAGAGGCTGAGGATAGCTTCACAGGTTGTGTCTTAACCCCTTGCGCCACCAGGGAGGCCCAGATTTTGCTTTTTTAAAAATGTTTTTGGTGGGCCTCCTTGGTGGCGTAGGGGTTAGAGTCTCAGCCCTATCAAGCTGTCACCAGCCACTGCAGCACAAGTTCTATCCCCAGCCAGGTAGCTGACCTGCTTGGCACAGCAGACCTCTCCTGCCTCGCCCACTGCTCCCCTCAGCAGTGTATTTCAGTAGATCCACCTATCTACTCCCTACTCTGTCTCTAGTGAATTCTTTTACCCCCCACACTTCTGGCCTACACCCCAGTTCTTGTTTGCATAAATAAATAAAAATAAATCCTTAAAAAAATTGTGGTTTTAACAAATGTTGGCGAGGGTGTGGAGAAAAAGGAACTCTTCTGCACTGTTGGTGGGAGTGCAAACTGGTCCAACCACTGTGGAGAGCTGTGTGGAGATTTCTGGACCTACTAAACATAGAGCTTCCATATGATCCAGCAATTCCACTCCTAGGTATTTACCCAAAGGACACAGAAACATCAATTCCAAAGAACACCTGCACCCCTATGTTTATAGCAGCACTGTTTACAATAGCTAAGCTTTGGAAACAACCCAAATGCCCAAAAATAGATGACTGGATCAAGAAGATGTGGTACATATATACCATGGAATATTACTCAGCATTCAAAAAAGATAAACACATGCAATTTGCAGCAACATGGATGGCACTGGAAGGGATCATGCTCAGCGAAATAAGCCAAAAAGAAAAAGAAAAATACCAGATGGTCTCACTCATAGCAGGAATCTAGAAAACTTAAATAAGGGACCAGGAAAACGAGTAACTATAAGAAAGTGAAAATCAAAATCAACAAAAAACTACGAACCAGAGACACTTTTAGGGGGGCGGGGGTGGGAGGGGAGGGATTGGGGTCAGAATGGGGGGGGCTGCAATTGTATGGGGAATATAAAAATAAAATTTATTATTAAAAAAAATAAATAAATAAATAAATAAAAATCTCATTACCAAAAAAAAAAAAAAAAAAAAAACTTGTGGTTTTAAGTTCACATCACTGGAGAGATTCCTACAGCCTGTAAGGGTTGAACTGGTTGATTTCCATAGTCAATTGCTGATTCCGACTTCTGGAGTTCTTTCCAAGTTTTTTTTTTTTTTTAATTTTTTTTTAATAGAGGCATGTTTTTCTTTCTTTATTTGTTTGTTTTGTTTGTTTATACATGCACTGGGTACAGTCAGAAGCGCAGGAGGGTGAGAGAATTCACCAGAGCCAGAGCGGGAGGCAGAGCAGGCAGAAGGACCGAAGTACACTGCAGAGGGGAGCAGCGGGCGGCAGGAGAGGTCTGCATGCCATGTGGGACCCTCCTCCGGTGGCCGGGGAGCAGCTGGGGATCGAACTGGTGCCTCAGAGGCCGCGGGCAGCTTCGCAACCCAGAGCTCAACCGCTGTGCCACCTGGGAGGCCCTCTTTCCAAGTTTTATATGTCTTATTTTGCCTAACAGCTCTATAGTCCCTGGGTGATTTACAGTGTATTTATTTTAGGAATCAGTGACATTTAAAGATGTGGCTATAGACTTCACACTGGAAGAATGGCTGTTGATGGACCCTAAACAGAGGAACCTGCACAAAGATGTGATGCTAGAGAATTATAGGAATCTTGTTTCCCTGGGTAAGATAACTTCTGTGTTCATATCTGCCCATTTGACCAGGTTTGCTGAAGATACAGTGCCTTTAAAGTACTTAACTGAAATTTGGATTAGAATTTAGGCATTATAATCTTACAGTCTTTCTTTTTTTTTTAAAGATTTATATACTTATACATACAAGAACTGGGGTACAGGCCAGAGTTTTGGGGAGTGAGAGGATGCACCAGAGATAGAATAGGGAACAGAACAGGCAGATCGACTGAAATACACTGAGGGGAGCAGCGGATGAGTCAGGAGAGGTCTGCTGTGCCATGTGGGTTACCTCCCTGGCGGGAGATTGAACTTGTGCTTTATTGGCTGTGGTGAGCTTCATAGGTTGCGTCTTAACCCCTTGCACCACCAGGGAGGCCCCTAATCTTAGTCTTAAGGGCATATTGTTGGGAGTTGTACTATTCCTTGCTCTTAACTAAATCTGCCCATTGTAGAGTAAGAAATAGATATTTCTTGGAATTTCAGAGATTGTTGACAGTCCCCTCAAATTTGGGACTAAATATCCTCATTCTTCCATAAACAGGAATCATAAGTATGTCTAGAAAGGAACAGATGTCTTCCTGTTCTTTCTGGCTTTCTAAACTCATATTATTCCCAAGATCTATGTTATTCCAGCAAACCTGGGGTCATAGTGTTGAGCTTCTCTAGGTTACCTTTGTAATTCTCTGTAACACCACTATACAATAGGATGTTGTGCTGTGTGCTATATCTGTATTGTCCAATATGGCAGGCACTAGCACTGGTTGCTATTGGGCACTTGAAATCTGGCTAGTCAAACTGAAGAACTGAATTTTCAATTTTATGTCATTTTAATTTAAATTCAAATTGAGTAACTGTAAGTGGCTACAGGTGTTCATATTGAACAGCACATCTCTAGAACATCTTACTTATAATAACCACACTGCACAGGAAATTAAGAACTGAAATTGAATGTGGACATAAGTAATACTCATAGACACAATCAAATCCTATTCATTTCTCTGTGCAACAGGGCTTGCAGTTTCCAAACCAGACATGATATCTCATTTGGAGGATGGAAAAGGACCATGGGTGATAATGAGAGAAATTTCAAGAACGCCCTATCCTGGTGAGTTAATAAGCACCAGGAGGATGGGTTTTATTTTACATGATAGGTAATATATAGCGCAAAAAAAAAAAATGAGAAATCTTTTAAAGTTTCACAGAATGGCTATAGATTTGTCTGTTTCTTATTTTAGTTCCATTCACTTTTGCCTATGTATATTGAAACTGTGTTATTACATCAATATAAAGTTAGAAGTGTTATAGCTTTTTGGTAAATTGAGCCTTTAATCATTATGAAATATCTTCTTTATTTCTGTGTGTGGTTTTTGCCTTTAAGTCTTATTTTGTCTGATATTAATATTATGGCATCATCATTTTGGTTATTGTTTATATGATATTCACTGTCACCTTTTACATAGTCTTACATTTTATATTTCTCTTTCAAGTAGCATACTACTAGATTTTTGTTTTAATTCATGTAATAGTCTTTTATCTTTTGGAGTATTTAGTATGCCTATAGTATCATTTCATAATGTATAAATATGCCATCTGGGTGTGTCTTGCCAGTTCTATATTATTTTTCTCCCTAGTCATGCCATCCTTTAAATTCGTTTTTCTATTTCCCTAATTGCTTGGTAATTAAATATTTTAAAATTATTTCTGTATTGGTTAGCGTTAATGCATGCATCCTTGATCTAGCAGTTTAATATAAATTACCCCCCTCCTTCCAAAAAAACACAAGGATCTTAGAACAGTTTATTCCATTTAATCACCTTTATTCTTGAATTATGGATTTTAATTCTGCATGTCAATATCATAAGACATCATTGTGAATGTTATGTGCAGTCAGTATTAATTTAGATCTACCTGATTTTTTTTTTACTCTTCCCTTTCTCTTCATTGCTTTTTTGCCTTCAAACCCATATTTATTTAACTTGCTCTCCATCTTTTTTTAAGTAAGTACCATTATTTTACATCCTTGTTCATTTTTTGACAGTATGGAATTTCATCCCTCAGGTATGTACACAGTAGCTCTTCCACCACCAAAAGACCCATAGTCCCCCACCATAGTTCATTAGGCTCTCCTCTCTCCCTCAGCCTCTCCACTTCTCTCCTCCCCTCTACTCATGGATGTCTCAGATCTATGATCAGCTTTCAAGTGTTTTCTTCCATAAAATTTCTGTAAAAGGGAACATACAACCACTTGTAAAGCAACTCTGACATGGAAATTTGATAAATCCCTCCACACAAAAAAAGCTGTTCAACAAAAAAAAAAAAAAAAAATGAGACTAAATATAGAGAAAATATGGTTAGGGACAAATATCTGATTTGTGAAGTAAATTATAAGCAAGGAAGTAGTCACAATTTATGAAGAATACTCACTAAAGATGACTCCAAAAGGAATGAGAAAAGAAATATTTGAGAAACTTAGATTCTAGAAGGGCTATAAAAAAACTCCTTGACTTTACTACTTAGGTTCTTTGCTGAAACAGCATCTCTTACTGCCTTCTTCTTGAACCAATTTTCAAGCAGTTAAAAACCGTTATTGGCCCCTTTCTCTTTTTTTAGTAAGATCGCCCCAACTTGGGAAATTGAAGTATTTGATTTTTTTTCCTTTTCCCCACCAGAGTTGGACACCAAATCTGGAACCAAGAATGCTATACCAACAGAGGTTATTTCTACAGAAGATTTACCACAGAAACCCATAATTGAGAAACTCACAGGGAATGGCCTATGGGATTCCAGAATGGGAGGATTATGGAAATGGAATGACAGAATAGTAAGATTGCAAAATAGTCAGGAGAGTCAATTAAGTCAAAGAATAATAACACAAAAGAAAATTTCCACTGGTCAAAGAGGCCTTAGATTTGGATCTATTCTTTTCCCAGAACCAGGAGTTATCACAGAAGAAGTCCACAGTATATGTCAAACACATGAAGGAAATTACAGAGATAATTTAGATTTTATTACAAAGATCCATTTGGGGAAGAAAATTTGTACTGATAAAGATGGCAGCAAAACCGTAAGGCCTACTTTAGAACTTACCTTAGGGGAAAAAAACAATAATAAAGACAAACCCTTTAAATGTAGTACATGTGAAAAGACCTTTCGTTATAGATCATTACTCATTCAACATCAGAGAACTCACACTAAAGAAAAGCCTTATGAATGTAGTGAATGTGGGAAAATGTTCAGCCAGCCTTCGTATCTCAGTCAACATAAAAAAATCCACACTGGAGAAAAACCCTACAAATGTAATGAATGTGGAAAGGCCTTTATTGCTTCTTCATCACTTATGGTACATCAGCGAATTCATACTAAGGAGAAGCCTTATCAATGCAATGTCTGTGGGAAATCTTTTAGCCAATGTGCCCGCCTTAATCAGCACCAGAGAATTCAAACTGGAGAGAAGCCCTACAAATGTAGTGAATGCGGCAAAGCTTTTAGTGATAAATCAAAACTTGCAAGACATCAGGAAACTCATAATGGAGAGAAGCCCTATAAATGTAATGACTGTGGGAAAGCCTTTAGGAATAAATCATATCTTAGTGTACATCAGAAAACCCATACTGAAGAGAAACCATATAAATGTAATGAATGTGGGAAATCCTTCAAGAATACCACAATTTTTAATGTTCATCAGAGAATTCATACTGGAGAGAAACCCTTCAGATGTAATGAGTGTGGAAAAGCATATAGAAGTAATTCAAGCCTTATTGTTCATATAAGAACTCATACTGGGGAAAAACCCTATGAATGTAATGAGTGTGGGAAAGCATTCAATCGTATAGCAAATTTCACAGAACATCAGAGGATTCATACAGGAGAGAAACCCTATAAGTGTAACGAATGTGGGAAAGCATTCATTAATTATTCATGCCTTACCGTACACCACAGAATGCATACAGGAGAGAAACCTTATAAATGTAATGAGTGTGGAAAGGCCTTCATGCGCTCTTCATCTCTAATTATACATCAGCGAATTCACACTGAGGAGAAACCTTACCTATGTAATGAATGTGGAGAATCTTTCAGAATAAAATCACACCTAACTGTACATCAAAGAATTCACACTGGGGAGAAACCATATAAATGCACTGACTGTGAAAGGGCTTTTACAAAAATGGTAAATCTCAAGGAACATCAGAAAATTCATACTGGAGTAAAGCCCTATAAATGCTGTGATTGTGGAAAATCCTTCAGGACTAAGTCATACCTTATTGTACACCAAAGGACCCATACTGGAGAAAAACCCTATAAATGTAATGAATGTGAGAAAGCTTTCACAAATACATCACAGCTTACTGTGCATCAAAGAAGGCATACTGGAGAAAAACCCTATAAATGTAATGAATGTGGGAAAGTTTTCACAAGTAACTCAGGCTTTAATACTCATCAGAGGACACATACTGGAGAGAAACCATTTAAATGTAATGACTGTGGGAAAGCATTTAGCCAGATGGTACATGTCACAGAACATCAGAAAATTCATAGTGGAGAGAAACCATACAAATGTGATGTCTGCGGAAAAGCCTTCAGGAGGGGTTCATATCTTACAGTACACTGGAGAACACATACTGGTGAAAAACCCTATGCATGTAAGGAATGTGGCAAAGGTTGTATTACCCTATCACAGCTAACTCTCCATCAAAGAATTCATACTGGGGAGAGGCCCTATAAATGTGAAGAATGTGGAAAAGCCTTTAGGACTAATTCAGACTTTACTGTACATCTGAGGATGCATACGGGAGAAAAACCATATAAATGTAGTGAATGTGGAAAAGCCTTTCGAAGTAGCTCAAGCCTTATTGTACATCAAAGAATACATCAGAGAGAAACTCAGCTAATATAAAAAGCGATAAATCATCCAGATATTAAGTCCACAAGAAGATCTTATAAACTGTATATTTTATGGGGAAACATTCAGGAACCATTTGCCAAGAAATACACACTGAGGAGACACACTATAAACATATTAATATGGAAGAGCACTTAACCATATTAAAAGTTATAAGAAATTTCCCAAGAGAAAAAATTAAACAAAAGCTTTCATCCAGATTTCATAGTGTTTTTATCTAACAATTATCTTCAGTGATTTGCCTATATATATTTCTGCCTATTTTTCTATTGATTTGTCTATCCTATATGTCTGGAGGTACTCTTCATGTATTTTAGATATTCTTTGTCATGTATGTTGCAAGTGTTTTTTAATTTAGCATTTTTGTCTTTATACTTTTTTGTATAGTAAAATGTTACCACATATTTTTACAGTAAAATATATCTTTTCCTTTTTTAAATTCTTGATTTGCTATTTATTCAAAAGGGTTTCTTTAATCCCTAGATTATAAAAGTCTCCAGGTTTGTTTCTAAGATTTCAATAACTTAATTTTTTGCATTGAAGTCTTAAATCCATATGGATTGGATGACCTTTCAATATGTCAATAACCTATTAAAATACTGTGAACCTAAATGATATTTAGGAAGATGGAAATTAAAACAACCAGTGAGATGTCACTTACACTTCAAGGATTTGGCAAAAATTAAGAGAGATGCTGTCCTCCCCAGTGATGCAGTGGGTTAGCACAGCTCTGTGAAGCTGTCACCAGCCTCTGCAGCACTGGTTCGATTCCTGGCCTGCCAGGGAGCTACCCACATGGCATGGCAGACCTCTCCTGTCTCACCCACTACTCCCCTCAGCAGTGTTTTTGGTCCATCTGCCTGTTCTGCTCCCGGCTCTGTCTCTGGTGAATCCTTTCACCCTCCGGTGCCTCTGGCCTATACCCCAGCTCTTGTATAAATTTAAAAAAAAAGTATGGAAGAATATATATTAGACATAATATTGGCTAACTTGAAGGGAGGGAAAAAAGGAAAATGGAGGGAATAAGAGGCATAGAGACTGGGGGAAAAGAAAAATGTAGTTGCAGCACATATGGTATAAAGCTCTATATGTAAGACTATGTGTTTGTGTGAACTTATGAGAGCCATGAATGAAGGGATAGTCTACACAAAGTTAATGATGGTTGTTTCAGGGTTGCCAGAATAGATGATGTTTCTTTAGCTGCTTTTCTGTATTTTTAAGTTTTTGTTTCTAATATTTATATAAATGGGGGGGGGGAAAGCTGTTTCTTGTGAAGCTAATTGTATTAACCACTTGTTATGTACCAGCAGTTGACTTAGGTGCTGGATATACATTAGTGGGACAGGTGTGGTCATAGATCTAAGAGCAGGGGAATTCATTCTGATGATGCCTTGATTCAAAAGAAGTTACCAGCACCTCACGCCACCTCACTATCCTCTGAGTTTCATTTTGTGAAGGTAATAGAAATTTCAAGTCATTAAAAAGCATCCAAGAATATGTGGACATTATGTCCAGGCTATCAACCAGAAGACTGTAAGACTCAGAATTTCCACTTTCAACATAACATCAGAGGATAGGTCACAATGGTGAAAAGGTCTGCACACAGTATCAAAGAACATTGCATGATGGTGTGTAGAAAGGGGAAACAAGCAGGGACTCCTAAGTTCATAAATGAAGGCTTGGAATTTCTGGGAATACTAAGAATCCTGGAGTCAGATTGGGAACCCAGGTACCTAGAGGCCCTAACAGAGTATGGATGGACCTGATACCCAAAAAAAGGTCAAGGCATCAAGAGCTGTGCTTCACTGGAGGGTGAGAGAAAATCAAGTATCTCCCACAATTTTAGGGTAAATACCTAATATTAAGAAGATGCTAGATAAATGATATAAATTATCTCCCATTGTAAATGATTTGTTGTGGTTTAAATAACCACATCTCAGAAAATTTTAATTATGAAATTTATTAACTATTGCCAATAGGCCTACCGTTGGATGGATATGCCATTTTCTGATTGGAAAGCTTGAGGGTTAGACCCTGAAATACTACCATTAAGAAACTCTGCAAACAGTTGACATGACTTGATGCCTACTCTTAGCTATATCTTTCTACTTCCTAACTCTCGCCACATACAAGCCCCACCTCCCATCCCTTTGTTAAGAGTCAAAAAAACTAATATTTTAAAAAATATTGTACAATAGAGAAAAGAGAAAGAATATAGTCAAAACAGTTTCCAATTAAACATCCAAAGCTATCCATGCCCAGAAAAACAGGGTTGACCCAAAGCAGGGCCACTGAACCTCAAGAGTTTGCCACAAGTCTAAGGCACTTTCTGGTGGGGACCCATAGGAAAGGGGCGAAAAGGGCCAGGCAAGTCTGGAAGGAAAAGAGCAAAATCAACCCAAGTCTCCCCAGGGTTTCTCCCACATCTCTGTCTCTTTCAAGTGTCTCCTTCCATGTCTCCATAGACTCTGGTACAAGTCCAAGGCTGAGAAGCAAGCGCGGCTTCTTCACGTGTCTCTCTGCTCCATGTGCCTCCTCCAGGTCTTCATTTCCTTTTTCTTCCTTCCTTTTTCTCAGTCTTTGCTAGCTTTCCCTGGATGCTCAACTCCACCCTTCCTTGGCTGGGGCAAGGAATATGGAATCTCCCCTTTCTATAGCTGTCACAATTACAATTGGACCACCAGATTCTGCCAAAACAGATAAAAACAGCACAGATCATACCAAAAAGAAATAAAGATTGGTTGTTAATGTACAATTCAAATTTAACTGGGGGCCCTGTATTTTCTCAAGCAACCTAGTGAAATTGAGGTTAAATGGTTAAATTGATCTCAGATCTTAAGAGAAAAAAAGTATCCAATTTTCCTTTCTGAAACTTGCTTTTACAGACAAAACAAAGGCTAGAAGATTATGGGTAACCTTGAGGTAAACTGCAAGGCAGACTGGAGCCTGAGATCCCAGAGAAGGCTCTCAACAGAAATTCAAAACTCAAGTTATCTGAAGAAAAGTCTCTTCATACTTCATGTATGAAGTGCCCTGTGACTAGCCAATGAACTTGAGCCAAGTGCACATTTCTTTGCCCCCACCTGTTTTTCAGGCAATAAAATTTAACTCCTTTGTTCTCAACCCTGGTCCCCAAAATCTGTGATAACCTGATTGCCTTTTTTGCTCAGAGAGATAGATTTGAATTTATCACTTGTCTCTGCCGTGGACAGGATAGCCAATGAAGTTCTCTGCCATTAACAAAGATTTGGAGTCTAAATGAATTTGCAATGGTGGGGAGGGGAGGCTGGGGAGAGCCATCAAGAGCAGCTCTGCCTTTCGCTCTCACAGCCCAAGCTTTTATTACAGATATGAACAAGAAAATAGCATGCAATTGTGTTTTTGCTTATAAAGATTAGTAAGCTACTGCTGAAAACACGTTTTCATGGTTAATAGGGAACATGCATACAAGCCAGCACGTCCTCAGAGAAGAATCAATTCTGGGAAGAAGTTCTGTTTGCAGAACTTGTAAGGTCCTTGAACTCCGTATGCAGAGTAAACAGGTACTCTCCCAAAACTCCAGCTCCCTTTAGGGCAGCAGGCTCCCAACATTACCCCCTTTTTGTTTTTAAAGCAAAGTGTAAGGTCAAGGCTGGGGCAGAGATGCGGTAGAAGAGGGGAACTTGAAACTGCTGCCACCTGCATCCCGGGAGCCAGCTCTGCCCCGTTTGCACCGGCCCTGATAAGCAGCATTGAAAGAACAACCAGTTCCAAGAGAAAAAACTTCTTTGAAAAGCAACTTCAACTCCACATTCTCTACCTCCCTCCAAGGCCAGAACATGCCCTATGAAAACTTGCCCTTATCCCCCAAAGGGTGCGACTTCTCCAACCCCCGTGGGGGTTGGTGAACCTCACCCATGAGCGCAATAAATTTCTTGCCCTGTGAGAAACTTAGCCTGGTTTTCCTTTTCTTTATCACACCAAAACCTTTCACAAAGTATAACTAGTTTTGGCATAGCCTGTATGAATCTTTTGATACGGTGTTTTAAGTCTTGCAGCAACTCCCCTTGCCAGTTTGTTCATGAATAAAGCTGATTTCTTTTCTCAAATGCCTGATGTCACTGTATGGTCTATACAGTTGCTCAGTAGTAATGTGGGTTTTGGAGGCTGTGGGTTTGAAGTGCAGGGTCCTTGGGTTCACTCTGGGGAAGCTGTCATCAGAGCTCCCATTTCAGCAACACGCGGCGAGTTTCCCTGGCGAGTTTCTCCACAAGACAGAGACGTTTGTTATATTTAAAGGGCAGGTTTAGTAGGGAAGGGATAAAATGGTAAAAGACACTTGAGTAGACACAAGCGGGCAGGAAGAGCTGCCCCAGAAGGGACAGGGTTGCTAAGAGAGGCCTCCATGGTTGCAGACAGGCGGCTTTGGCAGGTCATGGGCAGGCAGGAAACTGCTGCTCTGCAGAGGGAGAGAGTTGGTGAAAAGAGGCACCTGCATAGTCACAGGTGAGCAGAGAGATTGCTGCCCGGAGCCAGTGCAGACTGCACTGATATAGTCTTCTGTTTGGGAGGGGCTCACTCCTTGGGAGCTGTCAGTTGGTTGCTAATTTTGGATAACTATGTAGAATTTGAAAGGGACTGGAGATTCTATAATGGGCTCAATCTCCATATCTTTACCTTTGGGCCTGTGCTCTAGACAGCAGTTTGATACCTGCTTGGATGTTATGCTTTGTAATCTAGGCCTCTGTGCCTCAGGATACTAGCTTCTGTCTTGATGAGATGGATATGCTAATCTCTTCTTTCCCCACCTCCTTTTGTGAGCCAGGTTTCTGGTCTTGTGAGGCCTCCTTTTTTAGTTTTTTTCTATTCTTTTTTTTTTTTAAAGATTTATTTATTTATACAAGCACTGGGTACAGTCAGAATCGTGGGAGGGTGAGAGAATTCACCAGAGCCAGAGCAGGGAGCAAAACAGGCAGAAGGACGGAAGTACACTGCTGAGGGGAGCAGCGGGTGGCAGGAGAGGTCTGCCCGCCATGTGGGACCCTCGCTGGGGTACAGGCCAGAGATGCGGGGGCGGGGGGTGAGAGGATTCACCCAAGACAGAGTGGGCAACAGAACAGGCAGACTGACTGAAACACTGCTGAGGGGAGCAGCAGGCGAGTCAGGAGAGGTCTGCTTCGCCCACCAGATGGGTTTCTCTGGCCGGGTGGGGATCAAACTCGTGCTGCAGAGGCTGCGGATTGCTTCTTAGTGTGGTGCTTAACCCCTTGCGCCACCAGGGAGGCCCCAGTTTTTTTTCTATTCTTGTCCTCCATCATTAACACTAGATAGAACCAGGTGTCCAGATCAATGGAGCCCTGTAGGGTAACATAAAAGTATCAGGCTTTTCTGCCCTCCCGCCATTGGGATAGATGACAGAACCCTGCGGTCCTGA